CGAGGAGACATACTGAGTGATACTACATGTTTGAGTGGATTACAGGGCACAGGGAGAGAGGGGTTTGTAAATTTAACAAACAACAACAAAAATACAACAAAATAAAACTATACATACAATACACTACACATATACTGCACAATACCATCACAAACAATATTCATTTGTATTGTAAATGAATAAACAATTTTGTTAAATAAAATAAAAATTAAATCTAAATTATGATAGGATTACAGCAAAATATATTTTTTTAAATATAAGGAAACAGTTTTGTTTCGATGCTGTTATATAACATAAATCAAAGGCTAATAAAATTGAATTAACTTTTTTTTAAAATAAAAATTAAGTATCATTTATGCAAAAACATAATACTGTAATATTATATTATTAAATTATAATAATAATGATGTTAAGCAATAACTTTATATTTAATATATATATGTAACTTAAATTATTATTAAAAGAAAATTATAATACTAGAAAAAAACAATATCTATTGTAAAAAAACACAGCCAAAGAGTTTGTGATATAATAAAATCCATAGCAAATAGATATGCATTTAAAAAAATATTAATATAATATAATTATTATTATTATTTAAGCATTTTTTCTGTCATATCATTAGCCCGATGTAAACAACAATAATTGTGTTGAAAACTTGTAGCTAATGATGTGACCATCAAATGGACTCAATTCAGTGCATTAATAATAATAATAATAATAATTTTTTAAAAACTTGGCTGAGAAATAATAACAAAACAATATTTTAATATAATATATAAATTATTGTATTATATATATGTATGTGTCTGTCCTCGCGAAAAGGGTATGACTGACTGAACTATATTTTCAATTCAAATGAAGGCCAAACACATAAGTGTGTCCTCAAAAGCATATACACATAGTCACAAACACACACACACCACATAGTATTATACATTCAGCACTACTGCAACCAAATAACATTTAGCAATCATATTATAAAACAAAAAAAATTATTATTATTATTATTATTACTGACAATGTATATACTCTGTGTTATTAAATTAATAGCTTTGAACACAATTTAGTTTTTAAACAAAAGTGTGTTTCAGACATACAATAATCATAGTTAGTATGAATTATACAGTATATAAAAAAAAACACAAATTATGCAAATCAATAGGTAATTGAAATGAATTACTAACACATCAACCAAACCTTTTTTCATATACAGGTATAACATATAAAATATGATATATAAGTTTGAGAGAAATTTTTTTTAATATGTTTTTCTGTTCAATCATTTTAAATACCACTTCAATACCTGTATATTATAACAACAAAAATCAAGATTCACTTTAGTTTTTTGAATCAATTTTATACCTTTAGGGGAGAAATACATGTGTATATGAAAAAAAATTGAATGCCATTAACAGAGATGTTATTATAGATATGTGTATATAATTACTATATTATTAAATATACAATACTATTTAATAATACAAATATATATATATATATATAATAATACTAACAAATAAAATGATTCATATTTTGTGTTTTGCAAACACATTGACGACAAACTTTCAAATTAAATTTATTTATAAATAAATATATATATATATATATATATATATATTGTATATAAAATATAAATACACAAATAAAGTACTTTTACAATTTATAATAAAACAAATGTTTGTTTTATTTTTAAATAATAAAACTAAAAGTTATGACAACAACCCAAATAGAAAACTTTTATTTTAATTATTCAATCTATTCGTAAGCAATATTTTTATGTATTTTTTTTATAATCAATTGATATTAGACTATAGCAATATTTTTTGTGTCATATAGTTGGCGTACAATTTATATATATATTATACAACATGTGATGACAAACAAAATTTTGTTGTATATATCAATATTTTGACATTTCAAAGATCTGGAAACCTATTGAAATTGAATATTAAAATAAATTTGATAAAATTAAATGTGTTTGTGTGTAGGCATCTACTTGATTAAAAAATTATCATATTATATCTCAACACATCATAACCAAATAAATTTATAATTATTTCAACAATAAACTAGGTTATTGTATCACACATATTAATTTATAAACAATTTGTTATTTAATGTTTAAATAATTCACTTTAAATGTGTTAGAAAAAAGGTAACCATTAAAACAAATCATAGGTACTGTAGGTGTATATAAAAATATTACATTATAAGTGTGCTAACAAACAAACAAAAATTCAATTTCATGTAAATGTCAATTTATTTTAGACAACAATAGTCGAGATTTTTATATTTTTTTTGTTGAAAATATGTTAAATATCACGTCTAATATCCAGTAAAATACAGTTTATGTATACAATATGTATAAAAATTTATATAAAAAATACAATATTGTATATTAAAATATAAAAACCAATTCTTTAAGTCATGCATTAAACTAATATCAAAATACAGTGTACACACACTCACACACACCTAATATTTAATAACATTATTATTATATAAGTTAAAAAAAATATATATTTTTTAAAAGTTACAAAAAATAACGAAAAAATCAATTTATTTTACATTGAAAATAAATTTCTCAATAATAACTATAATGATATAAATAATTTTTGAATGTGTAAATAATTACTATATTTTTAGATATGAACTATATTATTAAAAATTAATCGCAACATTGATTGTAATAATAATTTATTTTTTAGTTGCTAATAATAACATATTATGGTTTGATTATATTTTATTTTAATTCACATATATTTTTATTAATAACAATAATATAAAGTAATTGAATTTCGAGTTAATATCCAGTAAATTATTATTTTATTATTATTATATAAATATATTTTTTATATTTATATCTTCATCTATCAGTTATATGAACTAAATTTCACATTTTAATATAATATTAATATTCTCAGCAAATATTTAATTATATCAAACAATGTTTTGGTTTATTATAATATAATATTTTGCTTTTATTTTTTTTGAGATCACTATTTTAGTTTTTAATGTTAATGTTTATTAAAAATAATAAATCATATTTTTGTTTTTCAATAATAATAATAATAATATCATATGATATGATAGCGTATACACAATAAATGACAAATAAAACTTGAATATCAAAATATCTAATCAAATCAAATATTATGAAACAATCATAACCTATCAATACTTCAATCAATTTGATATCTAACATATATCTATAAAAACTCATTTTATTATATCTCATACAAAATATATATTAAAAAAACAAAAATTAATTTAATAAGTAATTATTTTCTGGTAATTAATTTGTTATTATTAGTTTAAAAAATAATTTATAATTTTCGTGACGATGGGAATTCACTGTTCATTATATCCCATATTACTTGTAATTTATAACACAATATAAAATTTTTAGACTAGTATTTAAAGTTAAATAATTTTTTTTAATAATAAATACATTAATTATAAATGCGGTTTTTAATGCATATATTCATTAAAAATAGACACTTAATAATAATTTCCTGATTGTGGCCGAGAAAAAAAACTGTTAAACTAATTATTAAATAACAATACATAACAATAATAAATAAAAAATACTAAAAATAATAGTTAACTATATAAAAAAATTGTTGTTTGGTTAAGTTTTTTTTATTTTTGGTCATTTTTTGTTAGGAAATCAAACTAACATTAAACACACAGACAATGACTAGTAATTTAGTAATAATACGGTACAGTAAATGGTATGTTTAAAAAAATGTAATGACAAAATTCAATTTGGAAATTTATAAAAAACATTATAATATATATATTGATAATTGCTTTTAAACACTTTTTATTTTATAAGAAAAACTATGTTATATACTATCTAACTATCCAATAAATATACAGGTATTATTATTATTATTATTATTATAAGTGTATTGATTGTAACCAATGGGTAATTTACTAGTTTATGTTATTTTTATTTTATTTTTTGGGGGTACAGACATTACTTTGTTGAATATATATTTTATGATTTATTAGTTAAAAATAATTATATGTCTCGGAAAAATTTTCAAACACATACACAGTATAACACATACACATATTTTTTCAATAGTTAATTGGCACACATTTCCAACATTAATAATAACTAATAATAATAATAATACAGGTAATAATGATAATAATAACTATCACTTTAATTTAAAACATTTAGAGCAGAGAAAAATATTATGTTACAAAAAATAATACAACACTATGGATATTATTAATAAATAAAATTGTTGCTTGCTCAACTAGAAATATGTATTTTAATATATATATATGAAATTAATGTAAATATATTATATGTTGCCAATAATGTAAATAACAGGTAAATTATAATTGAAAAAAATGTAAAATATGCATTGTCACTTTATTTCAATTTTGTCGCTGTTTATTATTATTTTTATTATTTATTTTTATTTTATTATATTATTATTATTATTATTATAAATTATTAGCAACTTTTACTAATTATTGTATTAGTTATTAATTATTTATATAATAAATAAATTATATCTATACACATATACACAGTATACACGTATATCATATATAATATAGTTTATAAATAAATATTAACTAAAATATTATAGATTTATGATTATAAATACAGCATACATATCATTGATTTTAATTAAAATATATATATAAATAATACGTGTTTTTAACTATCAATATATGATATATTAAAATATCAATTATAATATAAAAATTATAACAACAACAAAAAAGTTAGCATGCTAAATATTTTAAAACATTTGTCTATTTATAAAATATAAAATATTATATATATATATATATATATATATATATATATATATATATATATATATATATATATATATATATATATTGTCTCAAATATATAAATTATATATATGTAAAAAAGGTATGATATATAGGATATAGGATTATATATATATGGGAACAGTTAGCTTATCATATATTAGCTGCGATAACAACAACAGTGGCCTTACTTTTGGTGGTCGTATCACTTTAGCCGAGTCTGTCTTGAGCTGACCGCCAGAGCTGTGATTTGTGTCCAATACTGTCTGCTGACCACTCACTTGGACCACACATTTGGCGTCCAAATCGATCTCTAAGAGACAACAACAACGATAACAACAATAACAACACAATTAGCCATCGATGACAACAACAACAATAAAACAATTAAACAATTTGTTGGTACAGTTAATACCTCTCCTATTGTATGGTCTGACCCGTACGGCTACTCTCACTTTGCACTGATCACCCATTATTTGGTACACAAATTATTATTATTATTATATTATTATTATTATTTATTTATTTATTTAATATTATCAACAATAATAATAATACTATTATTATTATTAGTAAATATGTTAATAAAATAATAATAAAAACAATGTATATATCGATACCAATACATGTGGTATCAGTTGTGTGACTAATACTCTACTGATGGCAAACACAACACTTGCAAACTCACTGAACATATACTGTATTATAATAGTTGTTAGCAAATAACTAGTTGTGCGCAAACAATAGATAACTTTTTAATTTTTACTGGTTTTACTGCCAAACCAAACCGAAATAATAATATTATACAGTATTCAGATTTTTTAACAATGTAATTTTGTTGTTTCATACAATAGATTAAATAAACTTTTTTAAATCAATTTTTTTTGTATAATTAAAAATTAAATAAATTGCAAAAATTTATAGCTATTTATTTGTTACCAAAATTACCCGAACCGTCATTTCATAAATAGTTTTCCATTCTAACGTCAAATGCAATATTTATTATTTAATAAAAACTTTTACTAGAAATAAATTACGTTATAATATTGTAGTCAATGGTTAGTTTAAGGGATAAAATAATGCAACAAAAAACAATCATTAAATAAATTTGATTATTATTTACAACAATTTTTTTAATTACTAAAATCATTTATAAATTAAAATATATAATCAATAATTTTTACAATAAATTCAATAATATGTATACAATAATAAAACAATTATTTTTTAATTGTTTATCGTCTCTGAGTTTTTCCAAGTTTTCGTTTACCGGCGAACAAGTGCTTGGGTTTGACATTCAATATCTTGCGGTCGGCCTCTCCTTTGCGGGCGTTTCTATTCATCGGTCTCTGAGACTTCTTGGCCATAAAGCGTACCTTTTTCTTCATCTGTACAGCAAATAAATTAAATAAATAAAAATCAATTAATAAAAAGTTGACAAAAATAAAAATAAAATTTAAATTAATAAAAAAAATAGCGTTCATTTGGTTAAAAAGCTCAAGTGTTATTCATCAGATCCAATGGTAAGACAGGGATAACTATATTGTAATCATTACGCAAATCCAATCTATTGATACAAAACAAAAAATAGTCGACAATTACCTTAACATCTTTAACGCCAGTTTCGTCGCGCGGTATCCTTGAGCTGCTCCTTACGCGGCCCTCACTGTCTTCGCGCATACGCTTAACAGGTCTCGATGGACGGTCATCTTCGACAGCTTCGTCAAAGTGTAGATCCTGTTTATCACAGACAACAAATCATACCAATTAATATCAAATAATTATCAAAATTAATCAATTAATTAAACAATCAATAATAAATCAATCAATCAGAGAGGTGCATTGGCCATTATCTTTCCGATAGTCGGTCATCGAGTTTTTAAAAAACTCATAAGAGTTGGTGGATATCTCTCATCATTTCGATATACTTTGATAAACCATAGATCAAAACAATTGCTCACCTCTTCATCGCTGTCCATAGTGACGCCCAGTCCACGCATTTGACTGCGAAGTCCGCTAACACTACGTTCTCTCTGTTTGAATGTCACAAATGAAAAAAAATCATTTATATAATTACAAAAATATGGTAATTGAAGAAACATTTAAAGAAAAATTTGTCTGCAATTTGAATCTCAGGAGCAGAACTGAATCAACAGAATTTGTTCTGAAAGTTTTGGTTTTTGGTAAGAAGTATTCATCATTTGATTGCAAGACAACAACAAAATAAGTCATAAAAATAAATAATGAGACAAACCTTTCGTGGATTTCTCGGTAATTGCGGTTTATTTGTATTATTCATTCGCTGTTCAACTTTCATAACGGCTTTGCGGTCTCTAATCTTTTTGGCTAAACTTCTCATCTCTTTTGTCGCCTCGTCTTCCGATTCGTCGTCGATATCATAAAAGCCAGCATTAATGCGTTCCTCTTCTTCTCGTTCCAATGCATCCAACTTTTCGAGTATATCAGAGTCAACAAAGTCGGCGATGTTGTGTCCCTCCCATATCTCGGGAATTGTGTCAAACTTCTGATCGCCATCGATATCATAGTTCTTCTTCAGGTCTAATATATAGTCATCGCCCAACTCTTCTTCAATATGTCGTTCAAGTTTCTTCTTGGGTTTGTCCGCATCCATTGCCTGTCGCTTATGTAGTACGGCTTCTGGTATACAAGGAGGTCGTTCCTGAAAATTATAGATACAAACAATTAGTTTTTTTGAAAAAAAATCTATTGTCACTAAACTGCAAGTCGTATATCAATTAAGTAATCAGAAAGTGAATAATAGGTTATCTTCATAATGAAAATAAGTGTTGGATCTCATTATCATCACATAAGAAACAGTTAACAGCAGTAATGATAGCAACAAAACAATGTCACACACCTTATCATCTCTTGGTATGGGAAGCGCCACATGAAGTCTACTCAAAAGGCTGTCCGTCTTTTTCGACTTCACTTTGGACTCGACTCTGTGTGCAAGCAATAGATCGCAAGACTCGTTTCGCAGTTCACAGACACCATCACCGGTAACAGTACTCATTTGGTGGACATAAACATTGTTTTCTTTCAACTCATCAAACAATCGTTGCTTATCATCGGGCAGATCATCAATCTTAAGTATATCTATCTTATTCACCACAACTACAATCGGTTTATTGGTGAACAACGGCTTGATATTATTGAATAGTGTAAACTGTTCATCAATGCTATGTCCACATTGTTCAGACAAATCCATTACATAGACAATACAAGCCCTGAGATGAGCTAATGCGGTGATCGACTGCATCTCAATAGTATTTCTCTCTTCAAGTGAGTGGTCAAGAATACCGGGAGTGTCAATAACCTGCCAGCGCAGGTACTTATAGTCGGTGTGTCCGACATACAGCGATTTTGTGGTAAAAGCGTACGGCTGTACCTCGACATCGGCTCTGGTAATCTTATTGATAAAACTAGATTTACCAACATTGGGAAAACCGCAGATCAATAGCGTACGAGTGTTCGGGTCTATAGACGGCAATCGAGACAAATGCTGTCTAACCTGTTCCAAGTACTCTAGATTCTGCTTCTGGCGCTTCATAATAGTGGCCATACGACCCAAAGCGGCCCGTTTCAATTGTTTGCACCGGTATAACGAGTCGGCATACTTCAGGAGCCGTACATAGTCGCGGGCTATACTGTAATAGAAAAAATGTATTAATGTTGACTGAACCGACACATAGGTTGGATTAAACATGTGTTGGCTAATTATCATTAAAAAAATTTCATTCATTTCGCATAGTAACGGGGTTTAAATTGCTATATGTCCGCAATTAAACACGTAAAATATGCCAATAGCTAACTGGTCATTGATTTAGACCCTAAACTTAAACGCAACTGCCAGACACGTGGCTACCACACCATGATATCAAACTATAGGACTTACTTATCGACAATGTGTTTGCATGTGTTTAACTGACCCAAAGCCAGCTTATAATGATCTCTATCGTAGAGGACATTCATCAGATCGGAAAAGAAGGGATGGATCTCCTAATAATAAGACATAAAAAATTCATTTTAATGTATGAGTCAAACATTTTTCACTAAACAAGAGATCAGATTCAATGAAAAATCAAAAAATCATTTGCTTTTGCACTACTGTTTGGCCAAACAGATCCATCAATTAAATCATTAAATAATTTATTGAATAATCTGATGAATAGACAGTGAGTGCCGTTCAGTAGATATGCAAATCAATGGTACAACGGAAGTGACGGGTAGTCATCAACATTACCTCCATTTTGGGAAACTCTTGGATAATTGATTCCAGTTTGTCGTGAAAGTTCTGTTGAGTGTACTTCACTTTTCTCATATAAAACGATCGGATCCGCGATATCTTGTAGTGTTTGTGGACAACAGTCGGCGTTTTTCTTTGCGTTTTCGATAAGACAATATCGATAAAGTCTTTAGTGGTGGGAACCACTGTTATACTCTTGAAATTATAGCGAGACATTGTGTCCACTATTGATTACCGATTGACTATCAAATATAATTAACAATTTAGTGGTTAAACCACTAAACTTTAAGACTAATTGAGACCAAAGTGATAGCAAATGACCACAAGATATGCTATCCTTTTATAAATTCAATGCTTTAATGATAGCAATGCTTTGCGAGAGAGAGACACGTGTTTTCACAGTCAGTGCTTTATATACTACAGAGTCTGCCATTAAATAACTCTATAATTTAAAAACAGGATATTATATCAATAACGACATCTGTATTGAGTTTGTATTAAAATATTATTTTAAAAAATTATTTTGAAGTCAAAAGTTTTGAAAACTTTTTTAAATAAAAATATGAATAATTTTTTTTTTTAATTATTGCTTTATAAATAAATTGTAAAATATAAAAAATAGTTAAAATTTGTTTGTTTATTATAATTATTTTTTAACGGTGGGTGTGATATACCTTTAACCCACTTTTGTCTGTTATCTTATAACTAAATTCACATTCAGTCCTTTATATAAAAAAAATTAAATATATTTTTAAGTATTGCTTAAATGTGTTTAAATATTATAATTGATTGAAATTTGAATTTATAATTAGGTAATATATTTATTGTTTCATTGATAATATACAGCTAAATGTATTTTTTTAGACAAATTTGAAAGTATTTGAAAGTATAAAATTAATTGTAATAAAAGTTTAATTTTTCTCATAATTTTGAATAATAGATAAAATTTAGTAAAATTTTTTATTTATTAATTTGCTGTCTGGAAATAATATCCGCCCGACGGATGGGTTCGGGAACTCTATAGAGACAACACTTGAGTACCACTTGAATGGCCGTCTCTAACGATACTTTATGTCCGATCGATACATAAACAGGATTTTTGCAATCATTGCGAGTCTTAAGAGCCACTCCTATGACTTCATCGCCGGAACTGTTTTTGATATCAAACTGATCGCCAATTTTCTGTAAACTTAATATCCGTCTCTTGTGTTCATCTTTGACAGATTGGTCAACAAAACTCATGTAATACGGATTTTTAGCCACACCTATGACAGCAGTATCGGTAAGTACACCAAAATGTGAGGCCAAACCAAACTTTCGCGGATGTAGTAAACCTTAAGTCCGATGAAGAAAAAAAACAAACTAAAAACCATTGAATGTTTTTGAAATAAACTTTTCACTTACCGTTACCATCGATGAGCCAAATCTTTGGCAATAGTTTTGGTTGATTTTGTTTCAAAGTTTCATATTCTTTGACTAAAAATTCAATTTCACGAAATGCCAGAAATCCTGCGATATATTGATTGGTTAGTCGTATAATTGAATTGTTTTCGTAGACAATAGCGAACTGATTGTTGGCATCCAATACAACACACGACACACAACCTAAACAACTGTCGGTCTTCGAGTACGAGATGTCTAAACCTGCGATCAAATCACAACTATTCAAATCAGACATCCAGTCATCGCTGTCTTGTGTTATCACTTTCTCACTCAACTCTATCTGTATTTTCATAAACTCTTCAGTCAAGTCCTCAATAGTTTTATTATAATTTTCAGACATTTTATTTTTATTCAATTTAAGCACAAAACGAATAATTTTTTTTTTTTTAAAAACTTTAATAAAGTTGTGAACCAATTGTCATAAGTTTGACACTTCTGTCTGTTATCTTATAATTAAATTCTTTGTTATGATTTTCGCCTCTTTTGTAGACACGAAGACATCCACTAACTAATGGTGAATAACCCGCCGATTGTTTGTCAGTTTGACACCAAATATCGCACTTATAAGCCAAAGACACGACAAAACGGTTCACTTCTTCGTCGTCCTCTTCAGTCGGATAATGCGATCCAATGGCCAGAAGAATGTCTCGTTCGTGACAATCGACTCTTAACTTGTGGACCAACTTATATATGGAGAGGAAGTCGACGCCCAATACAAAGAAATGACTCAAATCGTCGATTAAAACAACACTTTTGGCCGACAATAGAGATAATTGTTGATCCAATTGGTCGACAAATGTCTTAAAATTGAATTCTTCGTCTTTAGCTAACAAATCAATTATACGGATCTGTTGTCTATCGACAAGTTGTGTGACATTAATGGCCAGTTTGGCGGCGATATTGCGATAATGTTGCCAACTATTTGCCGCCACTATCACTAACACTTGTTCACCTTTTTTGACTGTCGAGTGTAACAATTGGTTAAAGAAAAAATCTCCGCCAGAGATGTGATCACGACTTGTGTGTAGAAGAAAGTCATTTGAAGACAAATCAAGTGTTGACACGAAGTCTGAAGTCATAATAATTGACTAAAAAATTATTGTTTTTTTATAATTTATTTATCAATAAATCTATTTTTATTTGTTATTATTATTACCACTGAATGAGGCAATCAATGCTTTTGTCATAAAGTACGTCAACAATGTATTGAATCCCTATTAATAGTAAAGATATCTATTATTATCATATAATTTACGACATATTTTATGACTATTTATACAACACATGTTTGTGTGAATCCTATTATTTTTTTAGTAAACATTTTTGTTGTTTTGTTAATAATAAGTGATCTAATTGTTAGATCCAATGTTTACAATACATTCATATCAAGTGTTTAATTAAATTAATAATAAATATAATATTTATTTGTTATTCATATTAAGTTTTAGCACATATTTCTTGTTTAACTAACACAATGTCCAGCAAAAAGCACAAGAAGTTGAAGAATGAGACCGAAAACCGGACAAAAGTCAAGAAAAAAGACAAACATAGAGACAAAGTTAAAGATAAGACATCAAAGGATAAGAAAAATAAAATAAATTTGAAGACAATAACAACAACAGATAAAACAGTTGATAATGTGATCAGTGATGTCGAAAGCTTACCGAGTGATGTGATCGATGATTTGGTGGACATCAGCGACAATGAAGACTACAAAACAGACAATTGGATAACCGATGAAATCAATAATAATAAGTTAAGTGATGCACCACTTCATCAATTGTTTCCAAGATTACGTTATTTAGCCAAAGACGACATCGAAACAGCCAAACGTAAAGGTATAGAGATTAAGACCGGAATATTCTCCAAACAAGAGAAGAGTATAATGACAGCCAACTGGAATCAGTTCATCAAAGACTTTCCAGTCGACAATCCGTATCTATTTATCGGTGTTTTCAGATATGTTAAAGAGTCGCAAGATATGGATAGCAATGAACGACAAAGAGCTCAACAGATCGCCAAAGTTGGACAGCTTTGGCTTCGTTTGGCTAAAGGATTGCCGAATCGGCCGCTGTGTCTCATCTATAGGCGTGCGTTGCGGATGTTTTCGGGACTGAAAAAGTCGAAAAACTTGACGGATGAGGACAGACAACATATACTTGATATGCATAGCAATGGTATGAAAATTAGTGACATTGCTTACAGAATATTTTGCGAACCAAAGACTGTCACTGAGATTATCCGCAATAATGTCAACACAACGACTGGCGATAAACTGGTAAAGCGCTGGAATGACAGTGAAAATAAACGGTTTATCAAAACAATCAAAGAAGTTATGAAAGAAGACAACATTAATGAGTATAACTATAATGATATTCCTTGGGGTAAAGTGGCGCACAAAATGAAGAACAGATCCATTACTCAGTGTAGAAATCATTTTAAGTCAAGAATTATATATCTAATGTTGAATCCAGACTTCGATGGCATCAAAAACTGGTCACTCTTAGAGACCAAACGTCTTATTTATGGTTTATATAAAGAAAACTATGAAAATGAATGCGATATCGATTGGGATTACTTTAAGGAAAAATTTTCACAGTTTAGTGTTTAATTGTTAATTTTTTTTTGTTTTTTAATTATTGTTTTTTTTTGAATATATATTTTTTTAGTGTCTCTATATTTGGTGAGATTTGTCGTAATTGGCGAACACTTAAGTACACTAATCGCGAGTACCAACTAATGACACACAAACAGAATGTTGAATATCTTTATAATAAATATATCGCAAATAACGATATCGAAGAATTGGAACAGTTCTGGAAAGACAATGTCGACGACTAATTAAGATTCATTTATTTGTCATATGTTTTAATTGATTTATAATAAAACAATATTTTTAATTATATAATACTAATCAATTGTTTTAATTATTTTTTATCAAAGTTATGATATATCATTTTATAAAAAAATATTTAACGAAAAATCATATTTTTAATTGACATTAAAATAGTAGTTTTTGTTTAAATGTTTTTGGATTATAACCTAAAAAGTATAGTTATTGATAATATATTGGTGTCATTATGTTGTATAATAAATACATCATTTAGTGTATGATAACTGTCGATAAAAATACCAAAAATTATTTCAATATTGTTTACGAAAATAATTCAATTATAAGTTGGACAGCTTTGGCTTCGTTTGGCTAAAGGATTGCCGAATCGGTCGCTGTGTCTCATCTATAGGCTTGCGTTGCGGATGTTTTCGGGACTGAAAAAGTCGAAAAACTTGACGGATGAGGACAGACAACATATACTTGATATGCATAGCAATGGTATGAAAATTAGTGACATTGCTTACAGAATATTTGAGTAAAAATATTGTATTTTTCAAGTAGTAAGCTATTGAATTTGATAGTACGTATAATTTTAAATAATTAGTATCAATTAGGGGACCATTAGACAATCTAGTGTTTTGACTATATAGATTTGAATAAAAATATTGGATTTTTATTTTAGTAAGATAGTTAACTCTATTGTACGTATAATTTTAAATAGATAGTATCAGTTAGGGCCCCAGTAGATAGAGTAGTGTTATTGTTCATTAGATTTAAATAAAAATATTGTATTTTTCAAGTAGTAAGCTATTGAATTTGATAGTATGTATAATTTTAAATAATTAGTATCAATTAGGGGACCATTAGACAATCTAGTGTTATTGACTATATAGATTTGAGTAAAAATATTGTATTTTTCAACTAGTAAGCTATTGAATTTGATAGTACGTATAATTTTAAATAGATAGTATCAGTTGGGGCCCCAGTAGATAGAGTAGTGTTATTGTTCATTTAGATTTTAATAAAAATATTGTATTTTTCAAGTAGTAAGCTATTGAATTTGATAGTACGTATAATTTTAAATAATTAGTATCAATTAGGGGACCATTAGACAATCTAGTGTTTTGACTATATAGATTTGAATAAAAATATTGGATTTTTATTTTAGTAAGATAGTTATCTTTATTGTACGTAAAATTTTAAATAGATAGTATCAGTTAGGGCCCCAGTAGATAGAGTAGTGTTATTGTTCATTTAGATTTAAATAAAAATATTGGATTTTTATTTTAGTAAGATAGTTAACTCTATTGTACGTAAAATTTTAAATAGATAGTATCAGTTAGGGCCCCAGTAGATAGAGTAGTGTTATTGTTCATTTAGATTTAAATAAAAATATTGGATTTTTATTTTAGTAAGATAGTTAACTCTATTGTACGTAAAATTTTAAATAGATAGTATCAGTTAGGGCCCCAGTAGATAGAGTAGTGTTATTGTTCATTTAGATTTAAATAAATATATTGGATTTTTATTTTAGTAAGATAGTTAACTCTATTGTACGTATAATTTTAAATAGATAGTATCAGTTAGGGCCCCAGTAGATAGAGTAGTGTTATTGTTCATTAGATTTAAATAAAAATATTGTATTTTTCAAGTAGTAAGCTATTGAATTTGATAGTATGTATAATTTTAAATAATTAGTATCAATTAGGGGACCATTAGACAATCTAGTGTTATTGACTATATAGATTTGAGTAAAAATATTGTATTTTTCAACTAGTAAGCTATTGAATTTGATAGTACGTATAATTTTAAATAGATAGTATCAGTTGGGGCCCCAGTAGATAGAGTAGTGTTATTGTTCATTTAGATTTAAATAAAAATATTGTATTTTTCAAGTAGTAAGCTATTGAATTTGATAGTATGTATAATTTTAAATAATTAGTATCAATTAGGGGACCATTAGACAATCTAGTGTTATTGACTATATAGATTTGAGTAAAAATATTGTATTTTTCAAGTAGTAAGCTATTGAATTTGATAGTACGTATAATTTTAAATAATTAGTATCAATTAGGGGACCATTAGACAATCTAGTGTTTTGACTATATAGATTTGAATAAAAATATTGGATTTTTATTTTAGTAAGATAGTTATCTTTATTGTACGTAAAATTTTAAATAGATAGTATCAGTTAGGGCCCCAGTAGATAGAGTAGTGTTATTGTTCATTTAGATTTAAATAAAAATATTGGATTTTTATTTTAGTAAGATAGTTAACTCTATTGTACGTAAAATTTTAAATAGATAGTATCAGTTAGGGCCCCAGTAGATAGAGTAGTGTTATTGTTCATTTAGATTTAAATAAAAATATTGGATTTTTATTTTAGTAAGATAGTTAACTCTATTGTACGTAAAATTTTAAATAGATAGTATCAGTTAGGGCCCCAGTAGATAGAGTAGTGTTATTGTTCATTTAGATTTAAATAAATATATTGGATTTTTATTTTAGTAAGATAGTTAACTCTATTGTACGTATAATTTTAAATAGATAGTATCAGTTAGGGCCCCAGTAGATAGAGTAGTGTTATTGTTCATTAGATTTAAATAAAAATATTGTATTTTTCAAGTAGTAAGCTATTGAATTTGATAGTATGTATAATTTTAAATAATTAGTATCAATTAGGGGACCATTAGACAATCTAGTGTTATTGACTATATAGATTTGAGTAAAAATATTGTATTTTTCAACTAGTAAGCTATTGAATTTGATAGTACGTATAATTTTAAATAGATAGTATCAGTTGGGGCCCCAGTAGATAGAGTAGTGTTATTGTTCATTTAGATTTTAATAAAAATATTGTATTTTTCAAGTAGTAAGCTATTGAATTTGATAGTACGTATAATTTTAAATAATTAGTATCAATTAGGGGACCATTAGACAATCTAGTGTTTTGACTATATAGATTTGAATAAAAATATTGGATTTTTATTTTAGTAAGATAGTTATCTTTATTGTACGTAAAATTTTAAATAGATAGTATCAGTTAGGGCCCCAGTAGATAGAGTAGTGTTATTGTTCATTTAGATTTAAATAAAAATATTGGATTTTTATTTTAGTAAGATAGTTAACTCTATTGTACGTAAAATTTTAAATAGATAGTATCAGTTAGGGCCCCAGTAGATAGAGTAGTGTTATTGTTCATTTAGATTTAAATAAAAATATTGGATTTTTATTTTAGTAAGATAGTTAACTCTATTGTACGTATAATTTTAAATAGATAGTATCAGTTAGGGCCCCAGTAGATAGAGTAGTGTTATTGTTCATTTAGATTTAAATAAATATATTGGATTTTTATTTTAGTAAGATAGTTATCTTTATTGTACGTAAAATTTTAAATAGATAGTATCAGTTAGGGCCCCAGTAGATAGAGTAGTGTTATTGTTCATTTAGATTTAAATAAAAATATTGGATTTTTATTTTAGTAAGATAGTTAACTCTATTGTACGTAAAATTTTAAATAGATAGTATCAGTTAGGGCCCCAGTAGATAGAGTAGTGTTATTGTTCATTTAGATTTAAATAAAAATATTGGATTTTTATTTTAGTAAGATAGTTAACTCTATTGTACGTAAAATTTTAAATAGATAGTATCAGTTAGGGCCCCAGTAGATAGAGTAGTGTTATTGTTCATTTAGATTTAAATAAATATATTGGATTTTTATTTTAGTAAGATAGTTAACTCTATTGTACGTATAATTTTAAATAGATAGTATCAGTTAGGGCCCCAGTAGATAGAGTAGTGTTATTGTTCATTAGATTTAAATAAAAATATTGTATTTTTCAAGTAGTAAGCTATTGAATTTGATAGTATGTATAATTTTAAATAATTAGTATCAATTAGGGGACCATTAGACAATCTAGTGTTATTGACTATATAGATTTGAGTAAAAATATTGTATTTTTCAACTAGTAAGCTATTGAATTTGATAGTACGTATAATTTTAAATAGATAGTATCAGTTGGGGCCCCAGTAGATAGAGTAGTGTTATTGTTCATTTAGATTTTAATAAAAATATTGTATTTTTCAAGTAGTAAGCTATTGAATTTGATAGTACGTATAATTTTAAATAATTAGTATCAATTAGGGGACCATTAGACAAAGTAGTGTTATTGTTCATTTAGATTTAATTGCCCAATCGTTTGGCAAATAATCAGAAGCCGTTGATAGACATTGATCTACTCAACAATCGGTACAAAAATCTAAACCTGGACATGGTTTATCCGGCCAAAATAACGGTAAAGATTACCGATTTTATACAATATTTATTGATATTTTTACTATTACAAAATATATAAATTTTACAGATATTTAAATAATTTTTTTTTAAAAATAAACCGATGACAGGCGCAGAGGACGTGGTTCAATTGGACCGGGTTTAGACTCAAGATGTCGCACAGTTATTGATCTCATTATCGAGATATTCGACTTTGTCAGACATTGTCTACAGCGAGACAATCCCCAGTATTATGTCAAATATGTTGTAGAAGATATCCTCAATGTCAACCGATTTGTAAACTTCTCGTTATCATATGATTATGAAACCGCTAAATTGCCGGACAAATATGTGGTTTTAGCAATCGAAAGTCAAGTCTAAGATTAATTATAAGATAACAGTTAGAAGTGCCAAAATTATGTCAATTGTTTCACAACTTTATTAGTTTTTTTAATTATTTGTTTTGGGCTTTACTTGAATAAAAATGTCTAAAAATTATTATAAAACTATTGAGGACTTCACTGAAAAGTTTATGAAAATACAGACATCTCGTACTCGAAGACCGACAGTTGTTTAGGTTGTGTGTCGTGTGTTGTATTGGATGCCAACAATCACTTCGCTATTGTCTACGAATAAATAATTTTAGATTTTAACCAATTAGTTTATATAATATATAGATTTGTAATTTTTTAAATAAATAATTTTAGAATTTTACCCATTAGTATATATAATATATAGATTTGTAATTTTTTTAATAAATAATTTTATATTTTTGCGCATTAGTATATATAATATATCGATTTGCAATTTTTAAATAAATAATTTTAGAATTTTACCCATTAGTATATATAATATATCGATTTGTAATTTTTTAAATAAATAATTTTAGATTTTTACCCATTAGTATATATAATATATAGATTTGTAATTTTTTAAATAAATAATTTTAGAATTTTACCCATTAGTATATATAATATATAGATTTGTAATTTTATAAATAAATAATTTTAGATTTTAACCAATTAGTATAGATTTGTAATTTTTTAAATAAATAATTTTAGAATTTTACCCATTAGTATATATAATATATAGATTTGTAATTTTTTTAATAAATAATTTTATATTTTTGCGCATTAGTATATATAATATATCGATTTGCAATTTTTAAATAAATAATTTTAAATAATTAGTATATATAATATATCGATTTGTAATTTTTTAAATAAATAATTTTAGATTTTTACCCATTAGTATATATAATATATAGATTTGTAATTTTTTAAATAAATAATTTTAGAATTTTACCCATTAGTATATATAATATATAGATTTGTAATTTTATAAATAAATAATTTTAGATTTTTACCCATTAGTTTATATAATATATCGATTTGTAATTTTTTTAATAAATAATTTTAGATTTTAACCCATTATCTTATATAATATATAGATTTGTAATTTTTTAATTAAATAATTATAGATTTTTACCCATTAGTTTATATAATATATTTGCCCATATATAAATGTGATCTCTATTATAATAACTTTTAATTTTTGAAAACTATTTGTATTGTTGTTAATGTTATAACTTTAAAAATATTTAGTAAATTTATAGTTTTTTTTCACTAAAATGTTTTAATTTTATTAAAATATTTTAATGATTTTAAGTTTTACATAGATAATGAGATAATTACAGTTTAATGATTTTATTAATAATAATCGATAAAATAAAATATGATTTAAACAAATATATAAATTAAATTTTCGATATTTTTTTGATTAGAAAATATTTATATAAATTAAATCCAATGATTGCTTAAAAAGTTGGTTCGAGTTTGGCGTCAAAGTCTTGATGTTGTTGTTGCTGATGATGTGAATGATGCAAATTGTTGACCGAATCATCCAATTGGTACACGTGTTGACTCTCGTCTACCGCGTCCTCATCGGACAACTCGAGTGATTCATTGCCGGACAGCTCCTGAAGTATAGACAGGTCTGGTTTGGTCTCCACTTCTTCGATACTTTGGTCCGAATGGTTAGAGTAGATACTGCTCTCCGATATCATCATTGAATACATACCGGGGCCGCCCTGTGTGACCAATTGCGGCGATGCCCCGATCGGTTGATTAAGCGGCAAATGTTTGCTTTTTGCTTCTTTGCGTTTATTATTAAACCAATTGCTGACCACAGAAATGGATACTTTGTCTCTTTCTTTAAGCGGTCGCCGAGTTATCCTTTCGACACATGTGTTACACTCATCGGCGATCATCTCTTTGGTTGACGCGTCCGGATAGGCGTTGTCTTTGAAATACTTGTCTAAAACCATGAGATGTTCCTTACGAAAGATAAATCGATCCCTTCTTATCGGCAACAGATCGCCCGTTTCGGTCAACTGTGTGCGCCGTTCGCCAATCGTTTGCGGACAGTATTGGGTTAACAATTCGGGTCGATTACGACACGACAGATACCACAAGTAGATCAAGTTCTTCGACTTGTCCGACATGTCTTGGCCTTCGCCGCGAAAGAATCGCGAGACATATCCCTGAGATATTTTGGTCATCTCAGCGATCATTATCTGTCTTATGTTATATTTGTTGACAAAAGTGCGGATCTCATTAAGCATTGTTATCTCGCCTCTCTTCTTGAAGTCATTTAACTCTTGAGATTCCTCTGTAGAGATAGTGTTGACTGTCATTTGTGGTCTGAGCGATACAGCCATCGATTGGCTATCAGTTTGTTGTGATGTCAGCAACGGTATTATGGAGACCGATGACGACTCTTTGGGCGACAGTTCGTCGTCACTCATATCGATGGACGAGCTGTCTATTAGTGACAGTGAATGCGAATTATGTTGTAATGTCTTTGAATTGGCGGCTATCGAATGCATCGGCTGTTGAACCGATCGTTGAAACTCTTGCTGCGACTGAGACATTGTGTGACACGAGTTGGCCATCAATTGTGTCGATGAAGTCAATGGCCGACCGTTGTTTGCCAGCGGCGAACCGCTGGCGGTCACCACCGGGTTATGATTATTGCCGTTATTATTGCAGACACTTTGGTCGACACCAGTAGTATTGAGTTCGCCGTCCATTCGGTCCATCTCTTCATAGGCCCGCCAGACCTGCTCTTTGGTGAGTCCAGTCTTGCGGAGACGTCTGACCAGTTCGATCTGTTCTATGGTAAACAAGTAGGCCATTGTCGGGATAGTTGTCCTCTAGTTATAGATGAGATGATATTCATCGATGGTTATACACACACAGAGAAAACAAACAGAGATGAGTCAGTCAATGAGGTCGTCGGTGTCAATGCCGATGACCACTACAACAACAACAACAACAACTGGTGGCCATTGGTTTGTTTGGACGCATATTGTGTTGCGAAGACCCGAAGTGATTGTAGCAGTGATGTTGTTGATGATAAAGATGATGGTATCGGTGATAATGGACACACATTTGTTGGCCAACACACACACGGCTGCCACCAATAGCTGTCAACCAATACTATAGTATTACTTATATATCATATATGTATTGTATTTACAATAATAATAATAATAATACAAAATCATTGAATACTGTATTAATAAAAAACAATTAGATTTTTTGTTTGTTATTATTATTATATTAAAGTCAATAGCCGTTCAAAATGCTTGTAATAATAATAATAATGTAATAAAAAAATAATGCACTCAATAGTAATGGCTTTTAATACTATGTGTGTAAATACTAATAGAGTTATTGTAACGATATTTGTGTACATTTTTGACGTCAAATCTAATAGATTTCTATGCGATATTGTTTGCCAGTCATTCATAAACGATATGACGAGGGGTTATAATACATATACAGTACTATTAATATTAGTTTCGTATAATAATAATTTTAGTTTATATGAATTTTAAGTTTATAAGTTTTAAAAAAATAGTTTAAATATATTTAAATATAAGATTTAAATATATAATTATAAAATAGTTAAAAAATTGTTAAATGTTTTTTAATATTTATTTTTATTTTAATTTGTGTTATTTTAAATACAGTTAAAAATATAATGTTGGTGAATAGTGATTTATTAATATATATATACATATATCAATAAAATAGTTTTAAAAACTTTTTATCTATTTTTTATATTATTAGTAAATTAATTAAAGTTATTATTACAATATTTTATGTCTTATTTTTTTAATTAATAATTAATAAAATGTTAAATTATTTTTTCTATTTTATTTTTAGATCAAATTAAATTATTATAATAAACAATTTTAGAAATAATTATAGTATAATAACTAATTTAAATTTAATTATATTGTATTTATTATATTTACAATATAAATAATATTATTTTATTCAAAAAAAATTTTAACAAAAAAAATCATATAAAATAAACAAAGATTTGTACGTAAATCTGAACGTAAATTTCAAGTTAAATAATGTGAAAAAATAATTAAAAACTAATATTGTTTTCTCATATATCGTCAATCATTACGTTAACAATTATATAACAATATTAAAATAATATTATTTTAGTCAATTACTTTGCAAACAATATACTATATTGTGTGCGAAACAGTGTGTAAACACAATGTTTTTTTATCAAATTTATTATTTATATACAAATATAAATTATAGAAAATAAATTATTTTGCACAATTAACTTTAAACTAAATTAATGATTACTAATTTTTTTGTAACAATAAATAATAAAACAATAATAAATTTGAATTAATGTATATATTAATAATTTTATTACAGATTATATGATTTATATTACAATAATTAGAAAAAATTTGTTTCTAGAAAATTGTTAGATTTAATGGTATATTTTAATTTTATATCAAATAAAAAAATCATTATATATATATACATCAAACTGATTATAAAATCACATTTAGTTTATTTATAGATAATATAAATGATACAAATATATATAAATTATAATATTATATAAATATTATATGACTTTTATGTTTATTAGAAACTTATGTTATAATAATAGACTTTAAAATAATTATAATATAATTTTTATTACAATAAATAAATAAACAATGAATATATTGTACATACAGACATAACTAAAAATAATTTCAATTATCTATCTATATATATAAATATATATAAGTTATGACAACAAAAAATAAATAATAAAACATTAGTTTTTATGAAAGACATTTGACGCCAAACATATCGGATATATAATTAATATATACATGTATTATATACTTTATGATAAATATATGAGAGAAAAAAATTTGGCCAAACATTGAAAACATACAAAAAACAAAAAAAATTCCGATAATATGATATAATAATTGTGCTTTAAATTTATGATCAAATATATATATATATATATGAAATATTAGATGAGATTATTGATACTCTAATGTGATGACAGATTTTCAAAAAAAAAAAAAATTTTTGATAAAAAATAGATAAGCAATCAATAGATTTATTTTCTGATATACATCTTCTTGACTTTGTTCCAACCGATGGCAACGTTTGGCAACTTTCGGAAAGACTTTTTCTCGGTATAGGCGACCACTCTATCGTCGGACATATAGTAGCTGTTGCTGCTGTTGTTGTTGTTGTTGTCCATTGCCGATGAATTGGACGATCGGATACATTGGCGATAGTAGCGTACGAGCGGCTGATATTTGAGACTCAATCGGCGGACCAGTTGTTTCTGGTATGTATTAAACTGAGGCCTATTGTCTACGTAGGCGTCCGGTTTCAGTATCATCAGCGGTGCCTGTCGTTTCCAATTTGATGGCCAGGTATGCGGATCTTCTTCTTCATACTTCACGCCAACCAGATTCGAGTTATTGAAGTGACTGTAAAGCAATTGAAACAATTGCTGATACTCTTCTTGCGTTGAATTTTCGCCGCGTTTTGCCATTTAAAGTAATTTTGTTTTTGATTTTAAATATTAATATGTGGTATATATTTATTTATGTTAGATATCACACACACAATGAAACCAATTACTATTTTTTTAAAAAAACAATTGACAGCACAGAATAGTATTAACACAGTTATAAAAAAAAAACTTTTTTCTCTGAATTTATACTAATAATTGCGAAAAAAAGTTTTATTTAAATATTTTTATTATAATACAATTGAATCTCTGACTAATAATTGTATTTTATATACTCTTTCAGTTGCCTTATATACGGCACATACAGTACAAACACATACCACGGAATTGCACACAGAATTGCTGGGGTTTACACACAAACTGACTGAGCAGATGCACTGATAGTTTTATATATATATACCGGTGCACTGGTATTCCTACCTAATAGCTACAGTAAATTAGTATAGTTGTGCACATACAGTATACATACACACACTTACACTTTTCTATGGCAATGTTTTATGTATAATACAGTATATAATTTACTAAAAATAATAGCTTTCAAAGCGTTAATGTCATAAACACACACTCCTAACACTCCTATGTCAATGTATTGGTAATGTTAATGATCAGCAAATTGATTGATCATTTAAAATAAAATATATATAATATAATGGTTAACCTATTAATAAAATTTAATTAATGAGTTCATTGTTTATGATAAACAATATCAGACTCGTGTGGTGTCCAAGCGTTATGATAATAGAGTATCAATTGATATATAATATGTTAATATTATGATAAAATAATAAAAATATTTTTTTAGCATAAAATTTCACAGAATTTTGCTTTTTTACAAATAAAAAGATAATATAATAAATAAATATAACACAAAAAAATATATTGATAAACAATTTTATTTTTTTTATTAGTACATTAACAATATAATATATACAGTATTATAGAAAAATTATATAATTTGGTTCATTTATTAAATAATAAATATTGTTATCATATTGTTGTTGTTGTTGTCATTGCTGTTGAATAATTTCGTATAACAATTGCTAAGTCATTGGTTTGTATGTTAAACTATAAAAAATTTATACAATCGGTATTACAAAAAACAAAAAATTTATGTTTTGTAAAACTCGTGTCAAAATGCAATCTCATGGGAAAACCATTATTAGTCGACTCTTTTTTTGTGTGTTAACGTAAACCTGTCATTGAAAACATACTGTATGTATGTCTATATGTATGGACTGTTAGTTTCGCAATTACTTAACTTTTATTTCATATACTTGAATATATATCTATACTGTACCTGTATATAATACATGTATATGTAATAATAATACATAACAATTTATTATTAATATTATTTGATATATAATTTGTTGTTTTAATGTAAACATACATGTAGATAATTGTCTATATATTTATTTTTTGATGTTATTGGCAATCAATTATTTTATTATTGATATTATTTATTTATTTATTCTGCATCAAATTAGTTCAAAAAAACATAAATTATAATTTAAGAGTTATTAATATAGTAGTAGTAGTAATATTTTAATGATATACAGTATTAATAATACAGTAGTACTAATATTATTAATATTAAAAAAATAATATTAATTTCAAATTAGTATTCAAACTATATATTGTAGTTATTTTTATGTAAATAACATTTATTAGATGTATGATATAATAATTCATATAATAATTAATAAAACAATAATTTAAGTACAAAATGATATGTACTATACTGTAATGCTATCGAAATTAATGGAAAATTATCAAACATTTCCACTAAAATTATTAAATTATTACTATTTTGACTTAATATTATAATTTATAAATAAATAAAAATATAAGTACTAAAAAACAAACAAAAAAAGATTTTTAATAATTTATTTAGTTTATTATTTTAGTTTATTATTTTAGTTTATTATTTTTAGTTTAATATAAAATTTAAATCAATTGACTAATTTAAAAATTATACCAATTATATAGTATAATTATAACCAAAAAATAAAATTTACTATTTAGGATATAATTAATAAAAAACCATTACATTTAAGGAAATTTAATTTTTTAATGATTTTTATCTTACAATACAAACTTTACAGTGAGATTGACATTATAACATTTAAAACATAAATCATTTAAATATTAAATTATAATATTAATGATACCATAAAAATATTTTATATATTCATATTTTAAATAAAGTTTTATCTAAAATTCAATTATAATCAGATTTTGTTTAAATATTAATGCATTTATATTAAACATAAATTATAAACATGATTATGAATTTAATATTAAATTGCATTTGTAATGTTTCGCATATTATATGTCAATTAAATTGTAATAAAATCAATATTGATTATTTGTAATTTATTATTATTACTATCATCATTAAATTAAAAATATTTATTTGCAGAAATATTAGGTTTTATATTTTATTAGATATTAATTAAAGATATTAAATTTTATGGATTAACTAAACAAATATTAGTTACTATAAATACAGTTTAGTCTTAAATATAGTTAAGATATAGCAAATTGCTATTTTTAATTTATAAATAAAAGGAATAAATGCAATAAATAATAAAATACTATATTATTATATAATGAAAATTAAAAAAATGTGATCTTTAGTACTGTATATAATTAGTAGTATATATTAATTATATTTAGTTAGAAAGTTGATTACACCATATCTATATAATAAACATAATACTAATAATACTAACACATACATACACACACACTGCACACACACACACACACACACACACACACTGTACACACACTACACACACGCACGTTGTATGAAATGCCTGTCAAAAGCACGTGTAGTTTTCGAGGTTAGTGTTTGAAACAAATATTTCAAATACAGACATTAATCGGTGTTTCGTTGACAACAAAATAATTCCCAAACAATTTTTATTTTATATTATTTTTTTTTTAGTTTTAGGATTTATTTATCAGCTAATATTGTATAATACATGTATAGTACAGTGTGTCTTTTTTCAACAAATTAATTATTTTTTAATTAAATAGTTTTTATTTATTTATTTTTAAAATAGATGTAAATTAGTGTAATTATTATACTTATTGTTTTCACTATAAAATTTCTAAATTATTTTATTAAAACTAATTTGTTGATGATTTAGTATTTTTCATTGGAAAAAAATTCCACGTGAATAACAATTTAAATAATATTTATTTTGTGTTTGTGTGTATTTTGTTTTTTTAATTTAATTTAATTTATTATTTCAATAAATAGATTTTTAGCTAATTAATGAAACATATTGTTTATTGTAAAAAGCCCAGCTTATTTAGTTATTAGACTATCAAGGTTATGCAGTTTATTTACACGTTAAGCCTATTATTCAACTTATATATATATTAAATATATATATATTAAATATATTAGTTAGTATAACATCAAAAACAACAAAGACGATATTGTCCCCGAAAAATAAAAATAAATCATTTACAATAAAATATTGGCAAATAATAATAATACTAATACTAATAATAAAGTATTGATAATAATAATAATTACAAAAATTAGTTTTTTTCAGTTGACTTTATAACCATAATGTTATACTACAAAAAAATGTTAAATGACTTATTTTATATTTACAATTATTTTTTCAATATAAACCGGTAATGTTTGATGTCATCTAATAATATCTGTCAACTACTTGTTATTGTGTATAGAAAAACCTTACAATTAGACTAAACAAGTTGTTTAGCTAATAAATATCTATAAAATTTTATATACAGTCTATTAATGCTTTTTCATATGCCTATACATAATAATGTTGATGTAAGAAAAAAATAATATATATACAGGTATTAAAGGCATCTATTTAGTCAATTAATGGTTTATTGAAAGGTCAACATATAATACTGTTTAATGGATATATTATTATTATTATTATTATTATTATTTTATATATAAAAAACTGCTACATAAATGTATTTGTATAAAACTACAACAACTTGATTCAGGTATTTTTTACCAGTTCAAATACACTACATGTGCTTAAAATGATAGACAGATAGATAGATAGACAAGTAGAGAGAGAGAGAGAGAGAGAGAGAGAGAGAGAGAGAGAGAGAGAGAGAGAGAGGGGTAGTAGTGTTTTGTTAAAATTAATTCAATGGTTGGGCATCTCCTTTGGCATAACATTTGCCTCATAGAGAAAAAAACAAGTCTTTGAACTTCAAGTTTATATTATACATAATATAAACAGCATTTTAAGTGAAAATAATTTTCTCAACAAAAACTTGTTCCTTGAATTTTTAAAGACCGGTAATCTTAAGACAACAATATATATATATATATATATATATATACAGTATATACGTATATGTTAGCTAATGATTATACTATATATATATATATATATATATATAATTTAGAAAATATATTACAAATGATGTGTCGTTTTTTTTGGTTGTTGTTGGTATGAGTTGATAGGTAAACACCAGTGAAATAATAAAAAAAAACATATAACAGACAACACGGCACAGGAGGACACGTCTCACTATATAAATATATGTCCAGTGGATAACAACATAGAAATAACAGTTTTTTATAATAAAAAAAGTTATCATTCAATTGACCGAAATAAAAACATATAGTGTATGTGTGTTTGTAATGATAGCTGTACTGACAAAAGTTTTATACAATCAAATAATTTAAATTTTGTTTTAGAAATCTATACAATTATTGAAAAAAAAATTATGTCATCATCGGTGAAAAATTCATCGGCAATTGTGATGGCAATTGAGATCAATGGCGAAACGCCTACGTATAGTGAATTCATTGTCAACTCTTATGGATATTTCATTAATAATATATTGTCCGCAAAAAACTATAATATTAAAGAAGATTTTCAATTGTGTGCCCAAAGGATTACAATATGGGATATATTAGTGATTGTTGTGTTGACCACTGTCTGGACTATTGGACGCTTTGTGGCCACAAAATACTTTTTTAAGGTATTAAAAATAATATTATTTTTTTTAATTATTATTGTTATTATTAAATATTAAATGTTTTATATAAATTATTAATAAATTTATTTAGTAATTTATAAGATTCTAATGTTTAACAAAAAAAATAAATATTTAATTAGAAAGTTTTAATTAAAATTGTTAATAAGTTAATTATATTTAAACTAATTAGATTATTAATTTTTAATTCAAACAACTATTAATTGATTTATATATATATATATATATATATATATATATATTTGTATTTATTTTTATAACCAAACTGTCTAGGATAATTATTTTTAAATATAATTAAAAATTTGATATTCAATAAAAAAAAGTCAATCTTTTTAAAGATTTTAAAGTAATTTCAATTGAATTTTTTAAATATATATATATATTATATGTTAACAATTATTCTTGTCTAGACTTTTGCAATATTTATTAGTAAAACTAAGCTATCAATAACTCTAGTGTTTAACGGCAAACAAAAACACAAACACAACGTTGGTGTTAAATATAATAAAAAATAATAAAATAACAATAATAATAATAACTTTAATATCTGTCAGATTGTTTACATAAAAATGCTATTTTTATCGTAAATAATTTAATTAAAAAACAGTCAACAATCTAAACTATTGAGAGACACATTGTCTTTCCGTATTCATAGGCATTGTATATATATATATATAAAAAATTATTGTGCATTTTATTATGTGTTTAATAGCAATATATATTCAATATAAAGTACAAATACTCTACTATTATAATATACAGTAGTATACAGAATATCATTGTCTATTCATGTAAACTGCAATATAAATGATACAATATGTTTGATGAAGCCATAGGAGTATTAGATAACAGTCCTCATTGTATTATATGAAAAACACCAGTGATGTGATGGTGTGTAAAGTATTGATGCATTTTTAGTCAATGGTGGGGTCAATAACATATGAACTGAAGAAAACCAAAAAAACAGAGATAAACCAAATGTTAAATCATTTTGTTTTACAAAAATATATTTATAAATAAAATAAAATAAAAAACAAATACACAAAATGTGTGTATAATGTTAGCCATCAGCACCTCTGATAAATCTCAATACATTTGAGACTTTTATTTGTATAAATTTAATGCAAAAGCAAACATACATTTTGAAAAAAACAAATACATTTCATTAATGTATAAATATTTTCATACATATGTATACTATATATTTTACATTATATTTTTTTAGTTACAGAAATTTAGTTTTGAAGTTATTTTTGTTAATATAGCCACAAAAAATGATTTTTGAAACTAAAAATTATCATTTTGTTATTATTATTAGCCAATTGGCCAGTATTATCAATTGACCAAAACGGACAGCAAAAAGATGCCGGAAAGTGGCTGGAAGTTTGCCTTCTATCTGAGCACCTGGTCCTACATGGCCTACATTATTATGATGAGGAAAGGCGCACAATATTTCTATAGTCCATCAATCGTATGGCAGAGTATGGACATAAAAAACTTTATTTTTTTTGCTATATTTTTTTCCAACAAACAGTTTAATTAATAAATTATTTTTTGTTTTTTTTGTTGTTAAATCCAACAGACTATTCAATAGATAATCCGGTGGAGACTGAAATATATGTCATATATATGGTTCAGTTGAGCTTTTATTGCCATTCCCTATACTCGACACTGTGTGTGGATCAGTGGCGTAAGGATACGCCGGCACTGATGGTCCATCACGTGTTGTGTGTACTCCTTATATCCATATCATTGGCCACTAAGTAAGTCAACGACAAACAAACAAACAAAAAATAAGATAAATATTACTAAAAATATAACATATTTTTATAACAAATACCTGATACTTGACATTAACATACTTTAATTTTTTTTGTTGACGTTGTTGTTGTTGTTGTTGTTGTGTGGAATAATATCATCAAAATTATCACTTTTTATTTAAACATATTTTTTTAGTTTCTTAACTTTTATTGTTTTTTTTCATTTTGTTTGTTTTTTTTAAATTGTAGATTTATATGTATGTGTGCTTCAAATAAGTTTATTTATCTTTCACTCCAATTATTAGTTTTTATTTTAATGTTTTTTTTTTAAAAAAAACTATGTTTATAATTTAGTTTTATTTTATATATATATATATATATGTTAAAACAGTTATACATGTAAATTATTTTAGTATTTTTAATTTTAGTCTATTTCAAACATTTAGCGATAAATTATTTAGGTTTATATATATATATATTTAGATTATATTTCGAGTAAAATGTTTTAAATGTTATTTTTTTGCAACTGAAAGAAATAAAGATTATTTAATAATTAGATACAATAATATATATTTTGGAAAATAATTAATTTGGGTTAAATTATAGTCAAAATTTAGGTCAATAGTAATTTTTTTAATTTGTTAGTTTAAATATCTAATAATTTAAAAATTTAATTAAAAAATTGTAGATTCTGGTTGGTATCAGTAATATTGATAATTTTAAAAATTAGATTATTATAGTTTTGTTAAAAATAAAATTGATGCTAAAAAACATTGTAAATATATAAATAGATCAAACAAAATAAAAAATAAATAAATAATTTTTGTGTAATTAATATATTTGCATATTTATAATATTATTATTATTATTAGGACTCATAAATCTGGTTTGTTTGCAATGTTTTTGCACGACGGGTGCGATATATTACTAGAGGGAACCAAACTGAGCCGGTATTTTAAGATACAGGGAGGTCGGGTCATCAAAAACATGGATGCCGTCACCAATGCCGGCTTTATTTGCTTTATAATGGCTTGGTAAGTTTTTATTATTATTTTTTAAATAATATAAAAAATATATTATTTTGTATACAAATTAAATCTTTAAAATTAATAGTTATTATAAATATTTTTTAATTTTTATGTTAACATTTAGTACATTATATGTACAACTATTATACTAATTTACTGTATGTATATATATATATATATATATATATATATATATATATATATAACGATAAATGTAAATGTGTTTTTTTTGTATCATATTTAGTCTAAAAACTAGAAATAGCAAAATAAAAATATCATATTATTTAACTAAATTTATATTTGTTTATATTATAATATAGCATTTAATTAATGACTTCTCTCTCTTTAGTTATAATTATTTATTTATTTATATGCGATGATACTGTATTTTCTATACACTAATAAAAATAATAGTAAACTCTAACAGCTTTTTCTCGTATATTAATATATAAAATGTTTTATTTATTTAAATAAGAGAGACGTGTGTTTTCAAATTTTTATATACATTGAATTTATACAAAATTCAAAAAACTAACATTGAATTTATAAAAATAATATATTTATATTTATTTAAAAATTTTATGATATTATAATTGAATTATTTTATTACACTTTATATCATACATAGTCTTATTATTAATATTTGCTTTGGGAAAAAATGCGATAAAACTATTGATATTTTTAGCATTTATATTGTTTTATTTATACAAAATATAACAATTAAATTTTTATGTTTCCTCTCTCTCTCTCTCTCTCTCTCTCTCTCTCTCTCTCTCTCTCTCTCTCTAAACATTTCCGTTAAAGTTATGCTCAAAACAAAATTTATAGAATTTATTTATATTTTTATTACTATAATAAACTAAATAACAGAATATTCTTATATTAGGATCTATTGTCGTCTATATTGTTATCCATTAAAACAAGTATATATGGCATCGGTATACGTGACGGCCAAACAAATTCAAGTGCCTTTCATTCAGCCAATTGTTTTGATGCTTTGGTTACTACTCATTATGAATATCTATTGGTTTACTGTATGTTTTATTTTTTGAATTTAATAATTTTCAATAACAGTATTTATTAAATACTAATAATTAATGTTTATTTTTTTAAATTTAAACTTTTAATAGTTTATCTTAAAACTACTCTACAAAGTGGTCACCGGACAGATCAAAGAATTGGATGACAATCGAGAATATTCTGAAAACAAGAATATTTCCGACGATTTAGATTCAGCCGACAAATTGGCCGCAAATGGACGCTATTATCTGAGACAACGAAAAATTGATTACAATTTATTACATACCGGAAGATCGCAATAAAACTAAAGTTGTTTTTTATTTTAGTTTTAGTTAATAATGTTTTTTTTGTTGGTATAAATTCCCTAACAATAAATGTCAACTATTTAGTTCAATAATAAATGTGAGAGAAAAAAATTGTGTATAAAAGCAATTGATCACACAATTGATAAGCAAAAAAAATCAAATATGAGACATTAAAATCACATATGAAAAAATTTATTATTATAATAGTTGAAATAATTATCGTTTTTATATAGATAAAAAATAATTTTTCAATACAAAATATGAATCCAAAAAAATACCAATTATTAATATGGTAAATAAATAAATAAAAAATATTATGGTATATAAACCACATACTCATTTTTAAGTTATAATAATTATTTAATTAAATATTGTAATAATTAATTATTAAATATTATAATAATTAATCCAAAATTCATAACCAAAATAATATATTTAAGTGCCTATGTTTTTATGATTATACAAAAAATTTTAATTATAATATTAATCAGGGAATTGTTTATATAAATAATGATTTTATTTTTATAGAAATATAAATTTTATGAGACATTTTATTATGTTATGATGAATTTTATAATAATGGTTATTTTAATTTTATAAATTTATATTATATTTATACAAAAAATATATACTAATAATTGTTTGCTATTAAATATTGTTGAAAATGTATAAAAAAATGGTTTTATTTGCCAAAAAATAAAATTAATAATTTTCATATCATTTACTTTTATGTAAAAAAATAAATCATAAAAATTATAATAGTTATATCTTGTATCTAAATATAAACATTTACTGTATATATATATAACAGTTTTAATCGGTAAATGCATTGGCAGTATAACCAACTAATAAGTCCTGATTATCGGTATTGCATTGACCGATGCGGACATTTGGATTGTAAGCCATTACACGTTTTGCATATATAGGCTCAACAGTATTGGTATCTTTGTTGACCAATTCACCGATTTTGGGACCAACTATATGATGGTCAGTAGATTCCGGCGAACTACTACCCGGAATCACTGATCTCTTATTACTGGTAGACCAACAACAACATCTCACTATACATACGGTTGTAACCAATAGTATGATTATAATCAGTATTGCAATTAATACTGTATATATTGTCGTCATATTATTGATTATTTTTTAATTGAAAACAATTTAACTTTTATATATCATATTACACAAACATTGTTAATTTCAATGTGATTTCTATATAATATAACAAATAATATTATAGATAAAACATTATACCAGTAAAATGAAAGTTTTTACAATAATTAACAAAAATATTTATGTTAATCTATTTTTGGGTGAATGAAATAAAAACTATATTATTCAATTCAATATAAACACAAACAAATATTTCAAAAAAAACAATTATTGTAGTTGTCATTGTTATATTATGCATGCTATTTAACAATAGTTTATATTATTCCTATATATATATATATACCGTATATATATATATATATATATATAACAGACACATGTCTTTCATAATAAATTGTTTATTGATATTATATTTCTGATAATTTATTATTTTTTAAAATTTTATTTATAAAGATTTGACGCATCACTTATAATCACGTCTTCAATGAATTGCGACACTTGTCTAGTATTTCTTTGCGTATCTTTGGATAGTCAGGATATTTCTGGAGAATCACTTTACAGACATCGATGGCGTCGACATATCGTTTGGCTTTCATAAAATTGAAGGCTAGTTTGTAGCCGATGTTAGGGTTATTACAATTGGTGAACTTCCAGGCCAGTTCATAGTTATGCGCCGCATCCTTAAAACTTTGCTCCCTTTCCATTATGTAACCCAAGTATTCGTAGGCTTTCATACACGACTGTGTAAACCCAAATTGATAGACAGTAATTATCATATATATATATATATATATATATATAAAGACCAAAAGTGTTTAACACCAAAGTTCAGTAGTAATCGATAGCATAAGTAAGTAGTAAGTGAGTGTGTAATTGTGAGATAAAGAGAGAGAGAGAGAGAGAGAGAGAGAGAGAGAGAGAGAGAGAGAGAGAGAGAGAGAGAGAGAGAGAGAGAGAGAGAGAGAGAGAGAGAGATGTGAATACAATTAAATGTCTTTTGAAATGTCATTAACTTGTTTTATGGGCAGACATTGCACAATGAGATAACACTTTTAAGGACTTACCTTATTGTATAGCAATACTTTCTTCATGAGTTCAATAGCCTTATCGTATTTAGCCGATTGAGTGTAGATATCAGCCAACAATAGCCAACATTTTTCTAAATATTCGGCTTCCTTTCAAAAATAAATATTAATATTTATATAAATAAATAAATAAATATAAGATATTTCAGGAATATTTGTGCGACTATTAAATAAAATGTGATTAATAATAATAATGATGTATTCAATCACTTGATAATTCCAGTTATTTTTGGCCAAACGTTTCAATTGGTTACGTGCTTTTGGTGTCTGTTTGAGTATCATGAATGCAGTGGACACACCTAAAATAGCGGCTACATTGTCCCGCTAGTTATACACACAAAAAAAATAATATGATAGATATTAATTGTTAATTATAAATATAAATTTCAAAAATTCAATTTACATATCTATCATCGTTTAAGATTTTTAAAAACTCATTGAGTGCCAGATCTGCTTCACTTTTTTGTCGTTTAGCCAACAAAACAAAATTACAGATTATATGAAAATCTAAATCGTCGATCACTTTGCTCCTAATGTCCTAAAAAAAATAAAAAATAAAAGATAATCTTTTTTTATTGGGAGATATTTTAGTGATCCATTAATTAGTGTTTGAAAAGTAGTTGTATACACACACAGACAACAAAACATGCATATCATGTGTATAAAACATATTAAATTATATGAGATATTGATTTTGTAATTAATTCAGTCAATGATAACAACAATGACATACACTTAACAATTGATCAGCAGTTTTGAGTGCAGCGTTTTGATAGCTGTCCCTTTCGCCGGGACTTTAGGATAATTAATGAGATTTACATTACATTGAGATAAACATAATAAATGATATTAATATTTATAATAATAATAATAATTTATGATAATAATACCTGAGCTGAACCATTGTATCAAATGTTTCGCCGCCAATAGTTTCATTGTCCGGATTAATACATATGTCGATCATATGATAGGTAACTTCAACGCCAATATCCGGGTCCTGTCGGGCCTTATTAAAACTTTTCATGGCTTCATTGTTATCACCTAATATACAACAACAACAAAGTTATGTCTTTAAAATGATACAAACAAATTACCGGTAAATTAATAATATGATTATTATGAATGCCTTTCCAAACCTGTATACCAATTGTACAATCCTTTGGCGTAATGATAGCCAGAATCCAATACAGTTCGCGGAGAATATTTTTCGGCTCTTTCGAGAACAGCCGGCACTATATCTAACTGTCCGACACGTTTGGCCGTCTCAATTAGCTTATTCATTGCTGGATAATAGGCTAAATATAAATAGGAAAAAAATGTATATTAAATAATATTTTTTAAATATATATATATATATAAATTAATTGATTACTCGGCTTTCTGGACAATAGTTCATTGAAGTGATTGAGCGCACCCTCGAAATCATTTTGTCTGAATGTCAGGTCAGCCATCATCTGATTGATTGAAGAAAAAATGTTTTAATATTAAATTTGCTTAAATAAAAAAAATTAATAATAATTATGACATACCAGCACAGGTTCATCCAAATGTGGCGCGTGTTTCAGTATAGCCACACAATAGTTGTGTGCAATTTCATAGTTTTGGTTCATTGCTTCCAACTTTGCCATCAACATCAAGATCTGACATAAAACATATGTATTTTAGTTTATATATATATATGAAAGATATTGTCTAAAAAAGTCATTATATTTATTATATTGTCATTACATCGGCATTTGCCTCATCATAATTAAGGGCTTCCTTATAGATAATGAGTGCCTGTTTTGTATCTCTTAAATGAGTTGATATGAGTTCACCCAATTGTTTGCATAAACTATTGAATATAAAAAAAATGTTCAATGGCTTCGGTATTATAAATACAATAGTAAACCTAATAGAGAACTTCCGCTGTTCGGCCAACTGGTCTGGCTGTTCAACGGGTAGTCGTCTCATAAGTCTATAAATTCATTGAAAATAATTGTTTTCAATAATAATAATATTACAGTAATATTAAAAACTTATATCAAGAATATTCTAACTTTTGATTTGTTTGATGAGCTCTTTTCAATGTTGCAATGGCTGTGCCCTTATTATCTGTATTGAGCTGAACCTGACCTAACAGATGAATCAGTTTGACCTCCCATTCCAGTGATTGCAGATCTTGAGCTAAAAAAATTGACGACAACAACAAAATTAATTAATTAATTAATAAAAAATTAAATATACATCTAAGAGATATATATACAAAAAAATACTTGCATTGACTCTGCGATATCTCCAGAGCACTGGTAATAATAATCTGTGATTCGGAATATTTTTTCAAACGATACAACAGATGTGCCAAATCGTATCGGAAGGCATTCTGGCCGCTAGTTTTGATGGCAGCCTTATAGTAGGTAACAGCCTATCAATCAATCAATCAAATAATTAAATAAATATATTAATTAACAATACTAATTAATAGTGTATATAAATATAACCTAAAAATTTATTATATAACCTAACCTTTTCGTAAAAGTGTGTCTTAATCAATGCCTGTCCCACTTTTCGGGTTAGAATCCAATCTTTCGGATTCTTTTTCAATGCCTGTTCATAAATCTCGATGGCTCTCTCGGGCTGTCATTTATAGTACATTAACATCAATTAACAAACAAAAATAATAATAAATAAATGTGTCTCGAGTTTTGTTATCAATTAAACAGTGTATTAAACAGTTATATAAATGATAACAATAGAGTACTACTACTACTACTGTACTATTATGTGTGTAAATACCTCCAGAATATTCATGTAAGCGTCGCCAAGCATTAGGAATGATTGGGTCGTTGGCTTCTTATCGAGAATTTCTCTATTAATATAATGTGTAATCATATTATGTATAATCAAGTAATCAGATATTTTTTATATATAATAAATACTAATATAAATGTTTAAAAACATATTAACAATGCATTTCAAAATTATATATATATACGGTATAAAGATATTGTATAAATAATTTATTTTGTTTTCATTAAATTAAATTAAAACATTAACGGGTATATCACATATAAAATATATAGATTACATTACCGGTTAGTTGAAATGCACAATAAAATTTTTAAGCAAACTAATAAAATATTTATTAATTAATAGCTTAATTTTTATAATCATTAAATTATCAATATATATTAATGTTCTCCAATCCAGGAAAGTTAAACATAAATACAAAAATTTATTATATACATATACAAAAAAAATATGTGTACAAAATGATAAAAATACAATTTAGTTTATTTTAAAAAATAATTATAAAAATAATTAACACAACTATGCTGTTGAACATGTTCTTCAGTAAAACGATTTCTTTTAGGGGTAACAATGTTTTTAAGCATAGAAAAGGATCTTTCAACATCAACACTAGTAAGGGGTGAATATAATAAATCATGAGAAATAGGTTTACAATAAAATTCGTATGCTGGATTTTTTTCTAATGAAGTCACTAATTTTTTCAAATATGTTTCATTATTTTTAAGCTTTAATAAAACATCTTTTATAACATTAATTTGTTGATCCACACGTAATCCAGATTTCTCCAAATAAACAATTTTTTCACACAAAAAACTGTATTTTTTACAGTGTTTTAATTCTTCTAATAATTGATTATTCATAACAAGTTGTTTAAGTTCAATAATTAATTTTTTTGATGAATTTAATGACAATATATATGTTTTGATTTTTTCAAAATTATCTACATAATATATAGTGCAATTAATAAATGTTCCCCAACGGGTTATAATTGGCTTTTTTGGCAATTTATCAACACAATTTAATAAAAAATCATGTCTATTTTTACTTGAATTTTTTAAATAACTGTTTATTTTATTTAAAAATGTTTCTGCTAAACTATTTTTTTCTCGAATTTTGTCACACACTCTATGCAAAGCGTGTGCTAAACATGTCATATGATTAAGTTTTGTAAATTTTTTTTTAGCTTTTTGCATTGCTTTAATCATTGGACTTGCCTGATCTGTAACACATAATACAATGTCATCATAATTAATATTATTATTATACAATTTATTAAGCGCTGTTTCCATTGCGTTAAGTATGCCATCACTTGTTTTGTCATTTAAAATTTGTGTTGAAATAAGTACAGGTTTTTGTTGCTTACCATTGAGCACTCCTACCAACACGTTAATAATTGTTCTCTGTAGACAATCTACAGTCTCATCAAGCATTACATAAATTTTATTTATCGATAATTCAGTTTTAATAAATTTTAGTGTATCGTTATATACTGTATCAACAGTTCTAGTAAGTGTTGATTGGCTTGGGATGTCAAATCCAGTGTAATCATATAGAAATTTCTTGAACTCCTTGTTCTCCAGTTTATACAATGGTATGTTTGCTGACATTAGTGCCAATACTAAGTTGATAACAAATGTTTTTTTATCTTTCAAATCAATTTTATTTAAATCCTCTGTTGATTTGCGTTTGTTTTTGTTGGTTTCACAATTACTTTTATGTTTTTGTGTGTTTTTATGTTGTTCAACATTTGACCATCCATGTTGTATGTCAAAATGTTCAAAGTTTTGTGAACACACTTCACATCTCAATTTTCCTCTTATTATAGAAAAATTGTGGTCACTTTTCACTATATTCATCATTAACTCTGATTGTTTATCCAATGAGTTGTTGCTAACATTTGTTGAATTACTGTTTTTATTAATAAAATTCAAAAATTGATTATTATTAAAAGCCATTTTATTTTAATTAACAATAAATAAACTTATTTATATAGTCAAATCACTTTGTTTTTATCAATTAATAAAATTTTAAAATATATAATTATTTATATATTATTATTATTATCTTTGTATATCACAATTATTATTATTATAACTATTATTAGTATTACAATTATTATAATAATTTTTTTTAGTATTCTCGCATCAAATGTGATCTATTATTTGCAGCACAAAATCATACAGAGTTTCCAATTGTTAATAAAACACTTGATTTGGTAATCAATAGTTGATTTTAAAATTATTTTTTGTTTGTTTGCTTTAATTAATATTTTTAAATAAACATTAATTTAATACAATTTTACAGAAGTGTTCAATAAATAAATATTCAATTATTATTATTACAATTATAATAATAATTATTATTATTATTGTAATTATTATTAACAATTTTTTTATTAAAAACTGAATAAATATATCTAATTTTTGAAAACAATTTAATAAAAATTATAATACAAGATAACTCAACGACTTGTAAACAACTGTTTATAATTTTGTACATTTGATTATTTTTATATTAATATTTTGTGTTTAAAATACTTTAGTTATTTTAATCCTAAGGTATTTTAATCTTATGTTTACTTGTATTAATACTTACTATCACATGTGTATTTGTTTACTTAAATATTTATATAGCTTAACTCCTAGAATGGAGAACATTAGTGTATAGTATACATATTATATATATATATACATTAGCAAAATGCAAAAACAAAATAATTTATTTAATTATTTAAATTTTAACAAATTGTTAAAATATATATGTCGTCTATAAATCATGAGGTAATTATCATTTTGACTGAATTAATGACTGTATTAAGCGGACAATTACCAGGAGTATCGGCGCTCTATTTTATTCCTAACAGTGTCAACAAACCTGTAACAGCCGGCATACAGGCGCCGATCCTTACGATGCTTTAAATAGATAATAGCCATCAATTCACGCGACCTGACAAAGTGGTCGCCGTGATCCACACGTATTTCCCGCAGCAAGCTCAAGGCAGCGTCAATGTCACCCCTGGCCTCAGCTAACTGTGCGTTGGCTATCATAATCCTTCCCTCGTCGGGTGTGTCCCGACAACTCTCAAGCATTTCAGCCAACAATTTGGAGGCTTCAGTCTAATTGACAAATTTATTGATAAATAAACAAAAATAAATTAGAAATAATTAAATTGAAATTAATTAAACATTAAAACTATTATAATTTACTGTTTGATCAGTTAGTGAATAGATGTCAACCATTTGCAAGTAAAGAGAAATTTTGTCGTTTTGGGATAAAAGAGATTTTCTTTTATTATTATTATCCAAATTATCTGTTAATAAATTTTAAGATAAATTTTTCAAAAAAAAATAATTACTAATATTTATGATTAATTATTATTTAAATATAATAAACAACAAAAATCTAACTTAATCCAGATTTCAACAGTTTTAATGCCTCTTCATATTTGCGTTCAGTTTTCAAAACCAATGCTTTTGTCAAAATATAATGAATTTGTTCTCTTATCTGATAATTAGATAATTTTTTTATATATAAAAACAAAACAAATAAAAGATTACTTAAACATTACTTATAAAATAATAATAATATCTGAATTGCTAATCAATCATCATTAGCTGTATATATATTTTGTTATATATATTGATATATAACCTGAAAATTATGGCTGAGCGCCATTTCCAGACTCTTACTGGATGTCTGTATATTTCCCAAATGCAATAATATTTGTGCCATAAGTAGGTGTCCGTCGCTGAACGCCGTATTCTGATCCAAACATTTCTGTAGTAAACTGATAGCCGCCTGAGTGTCGCCGCTCAGGTAATTGACTTTTGCCATCAAATAGAGGGGCTCTTTCTGTATGGGACAGGCATTGACCAGTGGTTGCAATATATTTTTTGCCTGTTTAAGCGCCGACGGTAGCGGTTGGCCAGCGATTATCGGTTCGTTTGGTGAGAACAGTAGATACAGTTTTGTTACATTCATCATGAGATCCGGGTCCAGTTTAATGTAGTATTCAATGCCAAGAGGCAGACCCTATATATACGATATATACAGTAGTATATAAACAATATTAAACCATAATTACCGAAATTAAATATAAAAAATAAAACAATTTCTAACTTTCATCGTTGAGTTTTGTTGTTCAACAATTTGATCCAAATATTTCAATATCTGTTCGCTTGACTTATTCCTCCGTTGACCCGATAGAGCGCAAAGATATAACAGTTCCTAAATATATCGGAAAAAATGGGATTAAAAACAATAATTAAAAATATCAATAATTTATTATATTATAAATTTTTGTGTGTATTTTGTTTTGTTGTTGTTTTCTAATAATTTTTTATAAAAAACAAATACTTTGCTCATTCCGGTTGCTTTGTTAAACTCTTCGAGCGATTCCAGTTGATCTTCGACACCGGTTTGTTCTTCGATGAGCTGACAATGTAGAAGTCCAATGAGACCGACGATACTGTTTTCATCTAATTTTGTGGCACTTTTATAGTGACGTTGGGCATCACTCATACGATCTTTTCAGTAAATTATCGGTAATTTTTATTTAAAAAATAAATAAAATAATTACCACTTCTTTACTTACTTAAGAGCATACACTGGAAGGCGTGTTCGCAAACGTAGACAATGTTTGTCGGGTCCAGAAATACAGCCCTTTCTATGAGAGTCATCGTATGAATCAATACGTCTTCGTCTCTAAAAGCCTTTAATCGATATATTTTTTAATTGAAAAATTGAAATAATTTTTTTTTAAACATAAATACCACTAATAATTAAAGTATTTAATTACAAAATACTTATTTTAAAAATTAAATTGAAATTAAAAATTATTACAATTCTAGCAAATAGTTTTGCCGTTTCATAGTAAAGTTCAGCATTTTTAGGCTCACGGATCTCAAACGATTGGATCAAATTCAATAATTTTGATGATCCCTGAAAAAAATCAAACATTTTTTTGTTGTTGATAATATATCAGTAACTAATTATATTTGTGTCACACTAGTAATAGTATAGCTCATGTATACGGTTAAACAAACAAAGCTAACCTGATCATCATTGTTATCCCAGGCCAAACTGTGTAATATAATAAATCGTTGAGCATCTAAACAATGTTTATCAATGGCCAGCGCCCGGAAAGCTGTATCGACTACTTGTTCCCAATCCTTAAGACAGGCCTGGAGTTTCATTTTTTCGACATATGCCGGCAAAAATCGCGGATACAAAACAATTGCTTGATTTAATTGCTCGATTCCAGCCATAAACGAACCATTCTTTTCCAATACCTTTGACTTTCCTAAGATTACTTCGGGATCATTGCTATTGTCATCAAAAAATTATTTTTTTTAATTTAAAATACATTTTATATAAATAAGATTTTTTTTCTCTAATACTATAATAAATTAAATAATACACAAAAAAAATTATTGATAACTTAAAATAAAACATACGATTTTGATGAGACATCAAAGTAACTCATAGCCGAGTGATTCATTTGTGTGATCTCTGTATTATTACCGGAGAGCACACCCAACCAACCTTTCAGTATTAATCCCTAAATATATATATTTGATATAATAATTATAATTTTGTTTTTATTTACGATATACACTACCACCACTACTACTAATAATAATAAATTATTTTCAAAAAATTAAAAACCTCTTTAAAATTTGGCGACATTTTAATCATACGATCGATATATTCTTTGGACTTTTCAAGTCTACCCGAAAGTAATAGGAAAAGGCCAGCAAAATATAAGCTCTGAATGTGAAAAATATTAGTAAAATTTTTATGTATATAATTAAACAATATTTTCAATAGTTTAAAAAACAAAATAAGACTGAAATAATTTTTATTTAATATTTAATTAAAATAATAATAATATATGTTTCTTAATATACCATATCGTTTGCGTGCTTACGATTTTCACGCACTTTACTCTCTAATTTAGCTACGGTTTCCTTATCTTTGAAACAAAAATATATTTTTAAAACAAAAAAAAATTAGTTATTTATAAATAAATTAATAATAAAATTACACTAACCTATGACCTGGCATTTTCTATGTGCATATATAAGAGCTAAATAAGCGGCAATTGATAGATCCCGGTCTGATTGACATTGATCCAGTTCACGGATGGCCTCTTGAACCCGACCTATTATTATAGTAATAATAATATTTAAAAAAATAATTAGTATACAAAAAGTTTATAATAAAATTAAAATAATTACTAAATTTACATAGATACTATTTATATTTACATTACCTTCAAATGCCAATGATATGCCATAATAAAATCTATATAATTGTTCACCTGGAGTATATAAAAAATAAATAAATATGTAAAATGTTTTTTTGGGGGGGGGGGTTGTGAGATAAATAAACCCATATATATAGTTACCAAGGTACATTCGAATACCCTCCAATGCACTGGATGCCATTGTACGATACATTTTATTTAAACAATAATAATGAATTGATGACTATAATTAAATAAAAACAAAATTATTTAATTTTATATTAATTATCTTAATAATAGTAGTATATATATACTAACTTTTAAAAGTAATTCATTGATATTATCGCCTCTTTCCGTCATTATTAATAATTTTTAGTATTTTTTTAGTATTTTAAATACACTTTTTTAAAAAAAATTGAAATACTAGTTTTCATGTACCAGCAATTATAATATTTAAAAATATATAATCATATATAGCTATTATAATATTATAAAATAACATTTTTAAAAAACTTTACATTAATTTACAATATTATTATGAAAAATACTACATCAACATCAATATTTTATTACAACAATAGCAATTCAATAATAGATATTTAATGACAAAATTCAAAACAAAGTGACCATGGCAACTTTAGCAATTTTATTATTTTAGTTTTTTTTTATACATACGTAGAGATAAACTATCAATAGATAAGCAAAATCTATAAATAAATTTTATTTGATTAATGTTTTAATATATTTTATAATTTTTTTTCAAGTAATTTATTGATTAAATATATATATATTTTTTAAAGAATATTCTGTGTTAACAAAAACATGGGAAACATATATTCATCATTAATGAACACAGTGTGGCCACCGATGACTGAACAGCAGATATTGTTTCAGTCCATCAAAGATAATGACTATAAAAAATTGGAAGAAATGTTGACAAATGGATCCGATATGAGTGTCATTAACGACGATGGACTCACTCTATTGCATTTGGCGGCAGAGTTGGGTCAACAACAGTGTGTCCATACATTGTTGTCCTATAACTGTATTGATGTCAATGTAAGGGACAACTGTGACACACCATTGGGACCGTTACAGACAACACCGCTTCACGTGGCGGCCGCCGAGGGCTGGCCTCAATTGGTCATCGAACTAATCGATAATGGAGCCGACGTAAATAGCGTCACCATAACCGGTTGGACACCATTACAGTATGTGATGATTACCGAAAAGATGACACCGACAAAGTTGCAGTCAATGGCCGTTTTGATTGGAAAGGGCGCCGATGTTAACAAACGCGACGCCGACGGCAACCATTCGCTCAATATTGCCGTACTGTACGGCCACTACGAGGCCACCCGATTATTGCTTAACAGTGGTGTCCAATTGACTGCTGTCGAGGCCATCGATCCGAACTGTTTGCGAAGTGATAATGTTTACCGATGTGTGGAACTGTGTGTAAAAGCCGGCGCCCATCGGGTGATCGAAAAATATCATATAATGCGGTTTGCAATGGAAAGCCAAGAGACCAACGATGAAGACATGGATCAGCGACAGCTCGAGTCTATCATTGCCCGAATGGATTCACTGTTAGCCGTGTGGTCATCGGTGGCGCCGTTGAAACACTTGTGTCGCTTAGCCTATCGGCGTCTGTACTCTGGTCACAATTTTAACGCTGTTGTCGATTGTCTACGAATTCCGCACACTTTTCGCCGGTATTTATTGTTTATAACCGATTGATACCATCATCTGATCCGATCCAAAAAGATATGATGTCTTTACTGAATTAAAAAAAAATATATGAAAATCAATCACTTATTATAAAAAAAAAACTTTTTGTTAAAAACTATATTTTCAAAACCAGTGCTCATGCGCTGCAATAGCACTCTTTAAGACACTTTAAGGACAAATATAATTGATGTATATATATATGGATGAAATATATGGTAACACGTGTCACAAATTGTATAATAATAACAACAATAATAATAATATCATAACTTAATTGATTAGATGTGTCCTTGAATTGTATACTACATATGTGTTGTTATGAATTTTTGTTTTTCATTTACATTTGAATCGATTCGCACATCAATTGTCACAACAAAACAAATAATTGATTTTATTTTTATTAAAAAAAAAAAAAAATATAAGACAACAAAACACATCATTCGGGCCATTGATTACCCGACCATATAATCATCAAATCATCAAACAATCGACTGTTACCGATGAGCGGCATCGGCACCGACACCAGTGATGCAATGATTGGTGTGGACAACAAAAAAGCCAAATTATTAGCCGCCGCCGATGATAATAGCCAAGTGGTGGTCAATGCTGATGGACAACATGAGTCGTCAGCGCCGGTTTCTGTCCACGAAAGAGTCGACATACGGCTCGGGGAGTTTGAGTTCGTACGGGTTCTCAATGAAAACAGTAGAACTAAATGGATTGCCATCGAAGGCCGACACGAACAACAACCGGCGGTAATCGTAATGGAAAAGATGGCGTTCAGTGAAGATAATGTCAAACAAATACTCGAAGACAAGCCGTCGGCCGACTACTCGCCGGACAGTTGGCTTCGACGTGACTTTCATAACGATATTTATGGTAACTATTTTGCATATCCTGACCGTTCATTGAACTCGATTAAGACGACAATCATTCATCCGGCCAGTGATCAACACATTCACAAGTATTTACGGCAAGAGATGCGTGTCGTCCGCGAGACTGCCGAACTGTATCGTACTGTCACTGAGCCGTACATCCAGTCGCGACAATTGTCACTTCAATGGGTCCAAAACATATTGGACGGCAAATCCGAATCGGAACGGGTTGTCAGCGAGAACGCGGATCCCGAGTCAGGTTTTGTATTACTGCCGGACATGAAATGGGATGGCATTCAACTCGAGTCACTCTATTTGGTGGCCATATGTCGGAAATCGGGTATCCGATCGTTGCGCGATCTTAACGAAACTCATTTGCCGCTACTGTTGAATGTAAAGCGCAAGTGTTGCGATGCGATTGAACGTAAATACGGTGTAACCGGTGACCAGCTTCGGGTGTATATACACTATCAGCCGTCATACTATCACTTTCACATACACTTTACATTGGTATCGGCCGATGATTCGGCGTCGGTATCGCTGGAAAGGTGTCACCTGTTGGACACTGTTATCAATAATATCCAATTGTGTGCCGACTATTATCAACGATCGACACTCATATTTGCGGTCAAACAAAATGATCCGCTGTTCCAGAAGTTTGTCGAAAAAACAATAAATAAAATTATTTGAAATAAAATCTAAAATTTCCTTTTTATTCAATTAAATCAATTTCATAGATATATATATATATATATCTATTAATAATATAATTATTGTTTAGACGTTTGACAATCGGATGAAATTGTAGCCATTGTTATATCAGTGTTCTGTCTATCATATCTCGGCTTTTTTGTTTGGTGTTTCTGTACCATTGCTCTGGTAGTCATCAAGTGATTGACCGGATGTTTCGGGTGATTTGTTTTGGTTCACACAGTGCGGACACATCCACTTTTTTGTTGCAGTGCCAGTCATGTTGTGGTCATCGACACACTGTTTATGATAAGTTCGGGGACAGTAATCGCATGATAATAACACACCGTCTTGTCTGCAAACTTGACAATACTGTTCAATATTACACTGAGAAAAAAATCCTATTACTCGAGAGAGTAAAAATATAAAGTAAATGAGTGTCAAATAAAAATCAAATAATTGTATATTAAAAATAAAACATTTTTCTAATGTAAAATAAAAACTATATTTATAAATTAAAAATAAAGCTTTACAATTCATGCGCAATGTTAAAAATGAAAACAGTAGTGTCTATTAAATACTCTATACTTATGCACAAACACTGTACAATAATAAAATTATATTAAATAATTGATAAATATATAATTTTTAATATATATTTTATACATATATAGAATATTTAATCTATGTTTTTTAAACACAAAATTACTAGAAAATTATCAATAAAAAGTATTGCAAGAAAGCCGACAATTCAAATTCTAATTAAAAAAAAGTATTTATCGATTAAAAAATCGATATTTATACATATATTTATTTTATACATTTTTTATAAAATAAATGTTTTATATAAACTGTAAAAAATTAATTAAATGAAAAGCTATAAGTATATTAATGCATATATATATAATAATTATTGTAAGAAAATAATAACTATGACTTAAATTAATATTAATATTAAATGTTTAATCTAAAAATATCTAATCAAATTAAAATAATTGTAATTAATAAAATAAATATAAAATTAGATTTTTTTTCAATAAAAAACTATTTTTTAATAGACAATTGTCAATTTTTAAATCGATAATTATCTGTCTTTTATTTTACATTAATTTTAAAAAAACAATTATCTAGTATTTAAAATATAAATATCTTTTTTAGTTTGTATGTTTATAAATAAAAGTAAACACAAATGTCTATTTTAAATTCAATAATTATACAATATTTATTTTACATTTATTTTTATTAAACAAAAATATTATAATAGATTTATGTTTTGTTTTAAATCGTTATTTGTAAATTAAAATGTTGCCCTTTTTGTGTATAAATGCCATATAATTTTAATAGACAAATGTCGATTAAATAATCTGTGTTTTGTCCGGCGATTATTTATCTATTTTTTAATCGATTGTCAATTAAATATTTTACAAATTATTTTATTTTTAAAGACAGATATCTTAGTTTAATCAAACAATTTTCTCAGTGTACTATTATTATCTTCAGAGTCGGTCTCTTTGTTGATCAAACCGGTTGCCACTGTGTTGGCGGCCGATTCCTTGACTTTCGTTTGGCTGATGGACTCGGATACCACCGGTAACTTAAGCACTGGTACCGATATATGTGGTCCACTATCGTCTTGTTGGTGACCCTTGTTTTCACGGCCGGGCAACTTAGCCAACAATCTGTTCATTGTGTTTACAAAGTAGATTAACAGATCACAAGTGCCATCATCAGGATTAGTGACAATTGTTTCAATTGCATCGATGGCATCCATTAATTTATCACGATTTGACTTTTCAGACATCTTTATGCTATTATATATATATATATATTAAATATTTTATATAAATTCAAAATATTAAAACATTAATCAAATTATAAATACTTATTATTATTATTGTTATTAGTATTAATATGTTGTCTCTTCAAAGTAGTGATTAGTAATGATTTTTTAATCCTATTTTTCTTAAACATTATAACTATTATTTTAATATACAATATATACTTAAAGTTGAAAATATTTTTTAAAATTTAATTATATTATTGAATATTGATATTAAAGTACAATAACAACAACAACAACACTAATAGTTAAATCAAACCTCTATTAGACGTTCACTTAATAATTAATTTATACAATTTTTTTTTATTTATTTTGGTAACTATAGTAACACATGGCTTATGAATGAATATGAAACTTAGGTTTTAATATAAATTAAAACTTAAAAACTAATAATTATTACACAAACGTGTTGTCAATGTTCGACACGAGTGGCGCTTAAGTAGTCATCAAACGATCAGACGATTGGTTTGTCTGTTTAGTGGCGGTGAGTGAGTGAGTGAGTGAGTGAGTGAGTGAATGAATGAACAGTGACTTCACTATTGAGTGTGTAATGAATGATAGAGAGAGTGTGTGTGTCTGTGAGTGAGTGAGTGTTTAGTGACAACAATAGACACAACAAACACAACAATAACAACAACGACAAGATGTCGGACAGCGAAGACAATGGCAGTCAAGACGAAGATAGTCGGCCACAGAAATCGGTTCCACCGCTTAAAATCAAATTACCGGTTCGCGAATCAGGTCGACCGAAACGTAATGTTCGCCAAAGGAAGCCATCGCAAGATTTGGCCGACGATATTACCGACAACGATGATGACGACGATGACATTGCAATGACTAAGACAAAGAATTCGTCGTCGCGATCGACAAAAAGCCGACAATCGGCGGCCAAAGAGTCGGCCGCTGCCGCCGCCTCTACATCTTCAGCTGATCCACCGTCGAGACGATCGGAGCGGATATTTTTGTCGGCAACCAAAAAGAATACGGTCGACAAAGACACGGATGACGACGATTTTGAAGACGCGGACGATACAGTTGCCGACGATAACAGCACCGCCATTGAGCACAAAGATTATTGTCAGACCTGTAGACAGGGCGGCGAACTTATTCTCTGCGATTACTGTCCCCGAGCTTACCATAAGGTGTGCGTCGACGACGATATGACAGATGTTCCGGAAGATTGGTTGTGTCCGCACTGCGAGAAGAACGGCAAACCGGAAAAACCGGAGACATCGACCAAATCTAAACGTAAGGTCAACACCAGCGCAGTCGACACGAAGAAAAGTAGTTCCAAAAAGCCAATGGCCAAGAGTTCGGCGCCAATTGAAAACCATGACTACTGCGAAATTTGTAACCAATGCGGCGAACTATTGCTTTGCGATACCTGTCCGCGAGCCTATCATTTGGTTTGTATGGATCCCGACATGAAGGCCGTGCCTACCGGTGTCTGGAGTTGTCCGCATTGCGAAGAGTACGGATTTGAAACCAACGATTCGCCGCCACCCGAACCACAGGAAAAGGCTGAAAAAATCTTATGTAAAGGCTGTCGACAACCGGGTGATGACATAATATTTTGCCGCACGTGTCCCACCAGATATCATCCGCGGTGTATGAATCCACCAATTGATCCATCAGACATACCGGACGAATGGCAGTGCGCGCCGTGCAGTGCCGAACCATTAGAGGGAAAAGTCCAGCGTATAATCACTTGGCGATGGAAAGTGAATCCTGAATCTGAAGATAAAGAGGTTAAACCTAAGAAGAAAGAGAAGCGCGAACGAGAGTTTTTTGTCAAATGGAAGGATCAGTCATATTGGCACTGTTCGTGGGTATCGGAGCTTCAGATAATGGTGTTTCACTCGCTTATGTATAGATCATATTCAACCAAAAACGACATGAATTATCCGCCGCCATTCGAGGAAGGCTATCGCGATCCGGGACCAGTGGCGAATCTGGCCGCTCCATCATCCGATGGGACCACCGAGGAAGGAGAACCGACAGCGGCTACAGGTATGCGAAGACGGCGCAACCGGTATTCAAATAACGACGAAAGTTTGGTCAACAATTATCTGCGTTACGGTATTCGTCCCGATTGGCTACAAATACATCGGGTGCTAAATCACCGAAAGACACGCGGAAAGATTCACTATACGATAAAGTGGCGCGAATTGCCGTACGAAGATTGTACCGTCGAGTTTGAACCCGATCATTGTCCGTTCGATATACCCGATTACGCCAAGAAAGTGCAAGACTATTGGAATCTTCGCAATTTGGTCGAAGATGAAGCCAAAGCTGAGAAGAAGACCAGAGATAAGGAAGAAAAACGAAAGGGAAAAGATAAGGACAAGAAAGAGAAGAAGAGCAAGAAATCAGATCCGAAGAAAAAGTGGGAGAAACAGCCCGAATGGATACCCGAACCGTTAGAACTTCACGAATATCAAATGGATGGTATTAATTGGCTCCGGTATTCGTGGGCTAACCAAACGGATACCATTCTAGCCGACGAAATGGGTTTGGGAAAGACTATCCAAACTATTGTCTTTCTCTACTCGCTATACAAAGAGGGCCACACAAGAGGTCCTTTTCTGATAACAGCACCGCTTTCGACAATCATCAACTGGGAACGTGAACTGGAAGACTGGGCGCCCGATTTCTATGTTGTCAACTATACCGGCTTAAAGGACAGTCGTATCGTAATCCGCGAAAACGAGCTCAGCTTTGATTCCGACGCTGTCCGCAGTGTTACCAAAGCGACTAAACTTCGCAAACACGTAACCGTCAAGTTTAACGTATTGTTGACCTCATACGAGCTAATCAATATGGATTCGGCACTATTGGGATCAATTGACTGGAAGGTATTGGTGGTGGACGAAGCTCATCGATTGAAGAGTTCTGGTTCGCTGTTTTTTCGTACATTAAACTCCTATCACGTCGAACACAAACTATTGTTAACGGGAACACCGTTGCAGAACAATCTGGAAGAGCTGTTCAATTTGTTGAATTTCTTGAGTCCCGACAGGTTTTGGTATGTCTTTGTTTTATGAAGTTTTCAATCGGTTATTCAAATCCGTTATGTTTTTCTTTAATTCTTGCATTTTTCGATATCATCAGCGATATGGAGGGCTTTCTCAACGAGTTTGCCGAGATTGCCAAAGAGGAACAGGTGAAGAAGCTGCACGACCTGCTCGGACCACATTTGTTGCGTCGACTTAAGGCCGACGTACTCAAGAATATGCCGTCGAAGAGCGAGTTTTTGGTTCGCGTCGATTTGGCACCGCTTCAGAAGTATAGATCACTTTTTTCTATAGATTTTTTTGGTTTTTTTAAAAACTAAATTATTTTATTAAATGTGATTTTATTTTTTTTATCTTTTTTTATTTAATAGAAAATATTATAAATTTATATTAACCCGAAATTTCGACGCATTAAACATTAAAGGCGGCGGAAAACAAGTGTCACTTTTGAATATAGTGATGGATCTGAAAAAGTGTTGCAATCATCCCTATCTGTTCCCAACGGCTGCAACGGTTTGTGTGATACAACCAATAAACAAATAAACATTATTTCTTATTAACGCTAAATTTGAATTACAAAAATACTTATTGTTTTTTTCAATTCTATTAGGAGGCGCCCAAAACCCGAAACGGTTGGTATGAAGGATCGGCGCTGACCAAGGCGTGCGGTAAACTAGTATTATTGCAGAAAATGATGAGAAAACTAAAAGACGAGGGCCATCGTGTCCTCATATTCTCTCAAATGACACAAATGTTGGATCTGTTAGAAGACTTTTGCGAATACGAACAATACAAATACGAACGCATCGATGGCTCGATTACCGGTACCATCAGACAGGATGCCATCGATCGATTTAACGCTCCCGGAGCCCAACAATTTGTATTTTTATTGTCCACACGTGCCGGCGGTTTGGGCATCAATTTGGCCACTGCCGACACTGTTGTTATCTATGATTCCGATTGGAATCCTCACAATGATATCCAGGCGTTCAGTCGCGCCCATCGTCTCGGTCAGGCCAACAAAGTGATGATCTATCGGTTTGTTACCCGCGGTTCTGTTGAGGAAAGGATACAACAGGTTGCCAAGAAAAAGATGATGTTAACACATTTGGTGGTCAGACCCGGTCTCGGTAGCAGCAAAAACCAGGCTGCAATGTCCAAACAAGAATTGGATGACATTCTCAAGTTTGGTACCGAAGAACTTTTTAAAGAAGAAGAAGGCAAAGAAGACACTGCCATTCATTATGATGACAAAGCTATTGAAGGTTTGCTCGACCGAACTCAAGAGGGTATTGAACAAAAGGAGATGTGGGCCAATGAATATCTGAGTTCATTTAAAGTGGCCAACTATGCCACCAAAGAGGCCGAAGAAGTGGAGGAAGAGGTGAAACCGCAGTCATCGGAAGAGCCCGATCCGCAATACTGGGAAAAACTGTTGGGCGCTCACTATATTCAACATCAGGAGAACATTCAGAGAACCCTCGGTAAAGGCAAACGTGTCCGCAAACAAGTGAACTATAGTATTAGCGCCGAACAAAATGAATACGCAAACAACGAATCGTCGTCCAGTTCTGATTACTCTATGGGATCGGGTATGTCGTGTAGTTTTGATTGTTTTTTCATTGATTTGAAAATCGTATGGTTTTTATTGTATTTCTTACCTCTTTTTTTTTCTCTCTCTATCTCTTACTAGATCTTAGCTCTAATGACGAAGATTTTGACCTGAAAGCCGAAGAAGGTCAACGAACCAGTAGACGACACAAACATGGAAAAGAAAAAATGCCACCACTTGTGGCTGTCATCGGTGGTAACACTGAGGTTGGTATCAAATTATTCTTATTGTTAAATAGTGTGCGATAATGAACCGTAACATTATTTTAATTAATGATATCTACAATCCCAAGTCTGATCCCATAAGTTATATATACAAGAATTATTGTTTTTTTATTGATTTTTTACTTTATTATGTATTTTAACCAATTTTATTGATTAAACAGGTCTTAGGATTTACAGCCAAACACCGCAAATCGTTCTTAGATGTGGTCATGAGATTTGGTTTGCCTCCGCAGGAGCAGAACATTACCGAATCTCAATGGTATATTCGTGACCTGAAAGGCAAATCGGAGAAACATTTGCGCGCCTATACCTCGCTGTTTGTTCAACATCTGTGCGATCCGGGAGAACTGCAGTCCAAGACATTCGAAGACGGCGTACCCAAAGAGGGAATCAATGTTAACCAAGTGTTGGCCCGAATCGGAATGGTTTCGCTCATAAGAAAGAAAGTACACGAATATGAAGACAAATTCGGTTTGCAGAGCATTAAGCCGAAGAAGAAGAAGCTTAAGATTGTCAACGAAAAGTCTACCGAATTTGCTGAGTTCGAAGACAGTGACAGTCAAAATGTTAGCAAAAAAGAAACCGATGGCAAAACAGAATCAGTTGCGGAAACGACTGCAAACAATAATGGCTCGAAACCCGACGAATCTGTGGAAGGAGTTAAACCGATTGATGAAGAAAAAATGGAAGTAACCAATGATGTGACAAATGGTACCAAATCGGAGACCGAAACTGTCAAACCAGATGAAGAGAATAAGATAAATGGCGAAGAAGTCAAAGATGTTGATATGAAAGACGTCGAAGAGACTAAAGAGGTTGTGGAGAGTAATGAAAATCATGAGCCAAAACCTACTGTCGAAAAGAAAGACGAAACCAAAGAAGCTGTTGATACAAATGCAAAACCGGTTGAAATGGTTGAATCAGATGAAGAAGAGCCCACAACTGTAGAAGCGTTTGACTTTCACATCAGAGACGGCGGACTAACCGAATTGAACACATTGTGGCACTTCGAGGAACAGGAGCTAAAACCGGGCAAAGAAGCTCTGGTTTGGAATAAACGTCACGACTATTGGCTGTTGGCTTCACTCGTCAAACACGGCTACGAACGATGGAAAGACATCGACAACGACGAAGATTTTAAACTGTTGACCGAACCGTTCAAGAATACACTGAACATTAAGAATAAATTTATGGAACGACGTCTTCGTCTGCTGGAACAGGCTTTGGTCTTCGAAGAACAGTTCCGACGAACGGGTCATTTGGCACGATTAGTGGCCAATGAAGACACCGATAACAACAAAGATGAACAAATGGAAGACGATGAGAGTCAAGATTCTTCGGCCGCCGCTGACGACGTCAATGACGAGAACAAGCCGTTGAACGCATCACTCCATCGGTGTGTCAATAATCTGGAAGATCTGATGACAGACATGAAGAGCGACTGCGGCCGCATTCCGCAGACTGTTCAACGAATACCGCCGATTGCACAACGATTACAGACATCGCAGCGCGCGTACAACCAAATGGGTTACCAAAAGAGACAATTGTCACTATAAGACATAACCAATAGTTGTAGAAATTCTTCAATTATCTCAAATAATGGACTTAACTATTGATTTAGTATTTTCTCACTTATTATTTATTTTTTTATAATTAATTGCAAACAATTTCAAAATAACCGTTTTTTCACCAAAAAAAAATAAATAATTAATTAATTAAAATAAAATAAACATACAATTATTGTTACAATAATTATTGGAAACACTTTTTTCATAATATGATTGTTTAATGTCTGAATTTATTGTACATTAAATTGTTTAGCATTTTTATGAATTTAAATAAAAAAAATAAAATATCATTTTTTAAAATAAAAACTTTTATCATTTTTATCAATAGCAAATTTATAATATAATATCACGATAATTATTATTGTAATTGATCAATTTTTAAAAAACCGATAATTGTATAATTAGGCAAAGATAATTGTATTGTAATAGCATTAATAATATTAATACTAACCATAAATACAATAATAATAATTTAGTGTAAATTTTATAAACGATTATTGTTTATAAAAACTTATATTTTGAAATTTAATGTTATATTAATTTATAAAATTTACATTATTTTATTTGACTATTATTTTTTTAAAAATTATTATTATTATTAATTTTGATAAATTGTTTTGGCTGTTAATTATTTGCTGCTAACTAACTAACTATACTGTTGTAATTGATATTTAAATTTTTGAAAAAAAAATTTATGAAAACCTTATTGAGAACCGGGAGGTAATATAGTCTCTGAAAAAATACAATAGTTGTCACTTATTGTACACATTAAGTAAAAGCATGTCTTTATAAACTGTAATACTGTATAATAATCTCAACATTCAGTTAGAAATTATTAACAATAGCTCTAACAATAAGAGAGAGAGAGAGAGACTAACTGTAACATGTGGTCGGCTATAACCGCAAAATACGGCCGACAATGGACTTCAACAGTCGTCAAAAGATACCGAAGTCTAACCGCTTACGATATCAGCCGAATGCGCGACCTGTTGGGCGATACAAACGTCAAGACCGATGACTTGGACTCGTTCAACACGGATTGGTTGCACACACACAAAGGTGACCACAAATATGGACAAACAGACAGACAGACAGACACAGATAGATAGACAATGATAACTGATTACCAATTGTTTACTAACTGTTCGGCGAACAGGTCGGTCACAGTTAGTGTTAGAGCCCAATACTACCCGACAAGTGTCGCAAGTAATGGCTTATTTGAACGACCAGTCGTTGCCGTGTGTAATACAATCGGGAAACACGTCGCTAGTGGCCGGCAGTGTACCGTTTGATGACGAGATTATCATTTCGATGGCCAAAATGCGTCAAATAATATCGTTTGACGAAACATCCGGAATATTGGTTACCGAATCGGGTGTCGTTTTGCAAACACTCGAAGACTATGTCAACGAAAGAGGTTATATAATGCCATACGATTTGGGAGCTAAAGGTTCGTGTCTTATTGGCGGCAATCTGGCCACCAATGCCGGTGGACTGCGTTTCATACGGTATGGCTCATTGCACGGCAGCGTCTTAGGCGTGGAAGTGGTCTTACCTGACGGCCGATTGTTGGATCTAATGAGTTGTATGCGTAAAGACAACACGGGTTACGATCTTAAACAACTGTTTATCGGTTTGTTTGCAATAATTAGTATAAGACTTGAATGTTTGCAATAATTGTGTTTTGTTTGGTTGTCTTAATCTTCTTGTTGTTTAGGATCAGAGGGAACTCTGGGTGTGATAACCAAAGTTTCGATACAATGTCCGCTCAAACTTCGACACCAAACCGTTGCTCTCGTGGCGGTCAATAGTTTTGACGATTTGCTAAAAATCTATCACAAGATTCGCTGCGATTTAACCGAATATCTGACAACATTCGAGATGATGGACGACATAGCCATGGATGCGGTCGTCACTAATCTGAAGCAAACACATCCACTCAATGGTAACAGTAGTCCATTCTATGTGATGTTCAAACTCGCGGCCAATGATTGCGAACATATGGAGAAGCGTTTGGCTCAAGTAATAGAACAGTTGATGGATAAACAATTGATTAGTGACGGCACTTATGTTAGTGATGACAATCTTCAGCGATTCCAGAAACTCAAGTCCTATAGAGAACGTATAGCCGAAGGACTTCTAGTCGACGGGTATTCATATAAATACGATATATCGTTACCGTTGAATGTCTTCTACGAAATTGTTAATGTCATGAAAGATAGACTAAAGACTACCAAATGCTTAAGAGTTTGCGGTTACGGACATATAGGCGACTGTAAGTGTTATTTGATTTTTTTTAAAAAATGGATTGTATTTACAAAAGTTATTAATTTATTGTCAATTGTTTTCTCTCTCTGAATAAAAAAAATAACAGCAAATCTTCATTTAAATATGACATCCAAAGTGTTTGACACCGACATCAAGAGTCAAATCGAACCGTTTCTCTATGAATACATTGCCAAACATAAGGGCAGTATATCTGCTGAACACGGATTGGGACTAATGAAGAACCGGTATCTGAGTTATTCAAAGCCAGCGGAGGCCATATCGATGATGAAAGATATTAAACGATTGATTGATCCGAAAAATATATTAAATCCCAACAAAATGTTGCCACCAATTAACTAGTCTTACCGTTAATTTTTATGATATATATTTTTTTGTTGTTGAAAAACTGTGATTTACCCACAATTGTTTAAAAATATTTTATCGTTATATATATATATACAGTATATTTTTAACATAAAAAAAAGTTTATTTATCGTAATGTGTTATATAAATAGTATTTTGTGTGATAAAAGTGATAATATCATAGTTATAGTCAATTATTATCAAGGTTTGTTTGTTTTTTTGATAAGTAAAAAATTATTGATAAAAAATTATTAAATTATTGATATAATATTTGTTTTTTTGTCAATATTTAGTGCTAAACTTGGAGACAATCTGTGAAAATTAAAAATGGCATATTTTTATTGGTTTATCACTGATTTATAAGGTAACTATTTTTTATTACAATTGTATTTTTTAGATATATTAACACAATTATCATAAATGATGAATAATTACAATCCAACTCATAGAGCACATGTATGTGTGTGTATCCAGTGATTGACAAACTTTACTGATCATTAATTAGATTACTAATTATATGTATAAATTAAATTATTTAACGGTAACTAATTGAAAGTTTTGTTTCTATTATTATTATTTTGAGATTCAATTATAGATTCAATTTTGCGTAAAAATGACATTTAAATCGACAATATTATTGGTCAAATTGTTGGTCAAAATTTGTATATACTGTGCAACAGTCTAACTGCTTAACGACAATTTGATTATATACTGTATATTAAAATAGATACAAAAAATTTGTATAAACCTTATCTAATCTATTATCGGTAATCTTAATGATAGTCTAACATTCAATATATTTTTAGCTATATTATAAAATTATAAATATTACCGATAATTTAGATTAGATATGGTAGCAATTATTGTTAATTAATTTTTATTTAAAAAAACTACATTGTATAGATATAAATTTTTTAAATTTTATTTATAATTTACAAAATAAATTATTATAAATAATAATTATGTACATAAGTTTTTATATATATATACAAATTCTGTAATAAATTAATTTTTGAAAACTACCGGTTAATTGAAATTGTAGTTTAAATTTTTGTCTATAATTCCCAGTCCTCTTAAAATAAAAATCAGACACGAATTTCGGGCGCAAAGTTGTCATTAGAGGACTTGTCATAACTAATAGGCACGTGAATTATCGAAGCGGTGGTAGTCGTGGCGGTATTATTGTCGCTATTGGACAGACATGAAGGCACTGGCGATGAATGTGTGTGCGAATGGTGTGAGTGCTCGAAGTGATGGCCAAATGACGACGATTTGTGATTATAGACAATGGTGTCCGTCGAGCGATGAGTGTTTGATGATTTGGCATCCATCGAGTGGTCGCCACCGACCACCATATCGGTGATGAAATTGGTGTTTACGATCTCCACGTGATTGTGACTAAGATTTGGCGACTTTTGGGCTAATAGACGCTTCTCTGGTGTGGCTAACACTACCATCTCCTGTGGCTTCTGTATCTTTATATATATTTAAAGAAAAAAAATCATTTTTACTAGTAAGAGCTATGTGTGTGTGTGTGTGTGTGTGTGTGTGTGTGTGTGTGTGTGTGTGTGTGTGTGTGTGTGTRAGAGAGAGAGAGAGAGAGAGAGAGAGAGAATTGTTTTGTCATTGAGGTTGAGTTCAACAGAAAAAATTACTTTTTTTTTGCTCATATATAATAAAAGATACCGTATTTTCAATAGCAATGTAACTGACAATTGAATTGAGAAATAAAATCGTCTCAATAGAGTACAAAATACTGGCAGTAAAAAGATTTTATATATACAGTCTATAATATATAATGTGTGTAAAAAATTGTGGTAAATGTGAATCAAAAGAGAAAAAAAAGTAAAATAAAATAAAAATCACAGAATCGTAAACCAAAGTGTAAGGCGTGAAGTGAAACGATAACAGATTATATAATAGGGAATTGTATGGCAATTGTATTAAAAACAATAGACAACAATGAATGAGTGAAAGTCTATGGGTTTGTTCGTCATATTATAGTTGAGACAATGGGCTTATGTATGTCTAAACGTGTAAAAAGAGACGGTGTGTGTGTGTATGACTGTGTTGATGATGTCTGTGTCAACTATCAGAATAATTTTCTATTGTAAAAGTTAGGTTAGAGGACAGGCAGATATTGTGGCTAAAAGTATTGTATAGAAAGAAATAAGAGAGAGAGAGAGAGAGAGAGAGAGAGAGAGAGAGAGAGAGAGAGAGAGAGAGAGAGAGAGAGAGAGAGAGAGATGAAGACTAATAAGCTATGGTTTGAAAAAGTTGTTGCTTTTGAATGAATAAATGAATGAAAACTATTTATTTTTATTTTTTTTGTTAAGATTTTTCTCTCAAATAACACAGGAATGATAAAAAAAATAACTAAAGATAGGTATTAGCAAATGGTTAGCGAAAAAATAACGGAAAACTATCAATTGAATGAATGAGTGGGAGAGTGGGTAAGTGTGGTGTTAGGTGAAAGCCAAAGGGTGTTAAAACTGTGTGTAATAATAATAATAATAATAATAATATTATTATTATTATAAAAGTGACGATCGATAATAACAACTAACATCGTTGTAGTGATAGCTCTGATGGTGATCACCACCAACTCCTCTGGAATTTCTGATATTATTATTATTAGAAGTATTACTACTAATACTGTTCCTATTATTCTTGTCTTTATGTCTGAGCGACGAATTTTTGTCCAATTGATAGTAAACGCCGGCAAATATTAACATATTTAATATCAATAGCGAACATCCAATGGCTATCGTCACCAACAATGCCGTCGAGTAATTAGCTGTCAATGCGATGGTATTATTGTTGTTGTTGTTGTCGTCGTTGGACTTGTTATTCAAATTAATCTTATCGGTCATCGCTATGACATCTGTAGCTGTCATCGTGTGGTTATTATTATTATTATCTAAGACTTTATCATTAGTAAGCACAGGGCTATTGTTGACCAGTTGATCGCCGGCTCCATCATTGACATTGACATCATTGCTAGTCGTCATTAAGTATTGTTTGCGACTTTTGCTTATAATTGAGTTGTTAGTGGCAATCAAATCGGTTACCGGTTTATTGGTAGGTATGGGTGCAAAAAATTTAAATGCCAACTGTCTAACGATGCCGTCATAAGAGGCCATATTTTCGTGATCGGTTAGTAAGTGATGGCGCAAATAGATTTGCTCTTCGCCGGCATTATGCAGACGTGGTATCAGATTCAACCAAAACGATAGCCTATGGCTGTGATAGTGATCTTTCACTTTTGGTTTAAGACCTAAAAACGTGAGATCAATGAATATAAGTGAATAATAAGTTAATAATAATAAAAATGAGAAATCAATAATTATTTTTATATACTGTTGTAAATTATATAAATTAGATATACATTAATAATTTATATATCTTTTATAAAAAAATACATTAATGTAAAACATTTGTTTCATTATTACATTTAGTATATAATATATATATATATATACTATTTTGTTCAAATAAATGTTAAAATTTAATTTAATTTTCATCATTTCTAAACCTCATATATTTAATTTTTTGTTTGAATGTCGAAATTTTTTTTTTGGTGCATATCTTTTATGCAAATATTGATATAATTGCAAACATCACACAAACTCTAAGCACATAGAGTTATAAATAATGCAACAAAAATTATAATGATTGATTAGTAATTTAATAAATTGTGTTTCACATAAAACACATAAATCAAATATAAGAGGCAAAAAATGATAATGTTTTTTTATGTAATTAATAAATTGCATTTATATATACATCAAATATAAATTATATATAAATTGAAAGAGGATGATAGAAAGATAGATAGATAGACAGACAGACAACAAATACGAAAAAAAATTACAATACTAAGTGAAAATCAAAAATCAAATTTTGCTAAAAAATAAAGTATTTTATTTATATACTGTAGAATATAATTGTATAAAAATTTGCTTTCAATTTTGATTAACAACAAATTGCTTATAAACTTTTAATAGAAAATTAAATTAATGTTAATATCATAATAAACGTCGTTTTGAAAAATATAATCATTTTTTTGGTGACATAACTTTGTTTATCATTGCAAATATTAATCTAAAAAATGTTTTTTTTTGCGAAAACAATATTAACAAAAAATTTATATACTGTTTGGTATCAATGTTGGTAAAAATATTTAACAAAAATTAATATTCAATTCATGTCTTTAACTTAGAAATCAAATTTCATAGTAATATTGATATAAATTGTATTATACTGTATATATAGAGAATATTCTGTTAGAAATCAAGTTATAAATCATAGTATATATCGAAATATACAGTTTAGTGAAATCCATGTCATCATACATTAATGTCATCAATAATTATAGTTAAAATTATTTGATTTCAATTGACACAAACAAATAAATAAATGATTAATAAAGATAATAATGAAATAATTTTACTGACCGAGCATTAAATATTTACGTTGTGTCGGCTCGTATTGAGGCCACAAAACACTTTCAAACCGACCCTTAGTTCGGTCACCGGTCGCGTCCAACTCTGTCGGCCATAGATTTGGATCACTAGTTATATAAAGATCCAAAAAATAGTTAATTAATTTGATTATACGTTAGATAATACCAAAATACACACACACACACACACACACACACACACACACACACACACACACACTACAATGCCTCTTAATGTGTGGTATATTTTATTTTTAGCAATTTAAAGCTATTAATATAATAATGCTATTTAGTTAGCAAAATTTTGTTGTTATTTAAAAAAACGTACGATAAATAATTGATTAAATTTTTCTATTGTGTGCTAAAAAGGTATTAAGGCGTTAATGTGTTGATTAAAATTTAAAATTAACTGAATTTTGTTGTACAGTACTTTATACTATATATATACAGTATATACAGTATCAATATACTGTATATCTATCGTATATTAAATAAAGTAGATGTGTGTATGTTATTCATTATTAAATCAAATGTCAATTATTTTTAGTGTTCATTGTTTTAAATTGAATTCCCAATTGTCATACAATAGAGATATTATAGACTTTGAAATATATATTAACGAAAAAGACATGAGTGAGTGAGTGAGTGAGTGAGTGAATGATTGTGTGTATGTGTGTGTGTGTGTATGTGTGTGTGTGTGTTAGAGAGAGAGAGAGAGAGAGAGAGAGAGAGAGAGAGAGAGAGAGAGAGAGAGAGAGAGAGAGAGAGAGAGTTGGAGTGATAGTAAAACTTGAATTGAATGTCAATAAGGGTTTGCCTATCGACTCGGGAATAGAGACAACGTATAGATTGCAATATAAATCGAGTGCCAAATAAATGGATAACAATTCCAAATAAATAACAGTCACAAGTGTTTTTTGGGGGGGAGGGGGTTAGGTTGGAGGGGTCGATAGGAGGGGTGTATGTCCTCAGAATAAATGTGTTTTCAGGTTCAGAAAATTAAGTAAAAACTAGAATACGATTCATATATTTATTTGTGATTATCATAGGGTTTCCGAGTCAATCAAGTTTTGTTTGTTTGTTTGTTTCAATTATGGGATCTGTAATATTCATAGATTGGACAGTAAGGAGATTGTCACGGATGTCAATCGATAAAATACAACCAATTTTTTTAGTCAAACTCATAACATAATAAGCTAATAAATACTCAAAATAAAAATATAATAGATTTAATAATTACCAGCAAATAAATATTTAGTACAAAAAAATATATTTGAAGCAGATTTGAAAATATTATATAATAATTAATTTTTATGACATTTCTAATACTCTAAGCCTAAGCCATATATAATACACTTGAATCCTTGCATATATCAATACTATGTTATGTCCTCAAACAATGGCATAACCTTTTAATTCATTAGAGTTAACCGTTAAATAGTATTACAATCAATTTTATGTGATTGTCTAACTTTATGGTGTGTGTGTGTGTGTGTGTGAAAGTGATTGTATGTGTAGAGTCCTAACATTTATATATTGTTTATCACACGTGTATTGTTTCACTTAAGTTTCACACAAGTGAACAGAAAATTTTTACTATTATTTTCAGTACTATTTTTTTTTATGTCTATTGATTTCCATTCAAACAATTGATTTCTTATAATATATATATACTGATATATATACTGTAGACCAATATATCAAGCATTCAGATGTTATCTCTAATTTTATCTATAATTAAACACAAATAGTCTCTAACTTTGTCTAACCCATAGAATTTCTATTTTGCTTTCTTTTTATTATTTTAATTATTAATTTGGTAGACATTGATATACTGTAATTAAAAAAAACAAAACATAAACAAAAATAATAATAATTAACACAAAACTTTTGGTTAAAAGTTTTATTTTGTGACAAACTTTGATAACTTTTAAGCAGCACCGGTAGTCTAGTGGATTCATTCACTTTCATAGATAAATAGAAATGTCTTATAATTATCAGTATATACTAACCCGTATTTGACAAAATTAATCCAATAAGCCATTAGTCCCTCGGATAGGCTGACCTCAGCTCTGCTATAGTTTTGTGTGAACTGTGGCATCGATTTGTCAGTCAAATGTTGAGCTAACGGTGCACCAAACATGTAGGCCAGCTCTTCGCCGTGCGAACAGCCCAAGCGCTGATGAAATTTGGTTCCCTCATCGCTCTGATAGATCAGTTGGTAAGGTATATATATATGTGTGTGAATTATAATGTAAATATTATGACACAATAGTTTCATATAATAATGATAATCATTATATATATAAAAAAATATATGACAGCTCTCTCTCTCTCTCTCTCACATACCTGATGGACAAACACATAGAAATAGGATCTGCCTCTCGATTGTTGCGGTCGAGTACTCGAAGACTGTCGATGATAGGGTCGTGTGGGCAGCACTGGTCGCGAATGCAGATCACTGGTCTCGACTACCGGTGCCACAACCAGTGCGTCGCTCATTATATCCAACAACGAGTCCAATAAATTGATGGGATGTTCCACAGGACGCGTCCAATCCGTGTACTCATTGATCAATGTCAGCAAAATCGCCTGTCATTTCAAATGGTACAGCCATTTATTAATACATTATTAATCTGGATTTCATATACCAGTGCTAGTATACTACTACCACTATACTAATACTATTAATACGACTAATACTACTACGACTGGTGGTTAATGCCCACTGTCCTCGAGATTTAAACTTTTTCCCACTCATTGGGGACCATGACTTATATTATATAAGTTGTATATATATATAGTATAGTATAATATTATATAAGTGATAACAAGTTTAAGGCACAGACAGTACAGTACAATACTAAACGACTAATACATTATAGTAGAGTACAGTACTATACTATTATAAGGACTGACTGATTAATAAAATTCAATCGCTATTCTGGATAATCAATGAATAATTCAATTCATATATCAAAAATCTATTGATATATATATATATATATAGTATTTGAAGGATTATATTGTGTGTATATATATATATAAGTGCAGAAAATTTCTAAAAATATAAACGACTGTATAAAATATTGAATCATTGAATATTAATAGTCAAATAATTAATATTTATATATTCCTTATGTTAGTAATCATTAGTATTTATTAGTAATCATTACTATAATAATTCGTATTTATTAATATTAACAAATTAATGCTCTCAACAATAACAACAACAAATATTGATCTCAAAAACAGCATTTATACTATTATATAATATAATTAGATATTTACTATTTGCAAAATATTTATTATATGAATTTATATTAAAAATTAATAAATTTAGTATATTTGTATATAAATGACAATTAATTGTAATAATTTTAAGGGTTTACAAATATATAATTATAATGTTAGTTATTGTTAATTTTTCAAAAATAATAGGAAATTTATTATTTAATTTATTAATAATGACATGAAACTTGCAGTATATTATAATTGTCATAATATTTTGATAAAAAAAATAAGAAATTAATTATTTATGTAAATTATGAATAATAAATTAATTTTTAACATAAAATATCGATTTCAAAATAAACTAATACAGTAGCTATAATATACCATACTATTGTATTATAGTTAAAGTAGATACACTATTTATATAACAATGTATTAATTGTGTGTGTATTTATATATGTTGTGGTTAGTTATTTTTTTGGTCAGTTATCTAATAATAACAGAGTGTAGTATTTCTACTATACTATTTGTATGGCATATACAGTAGCTTTTTACTTATATATAGTGAATTTTTGCATGTAATTCCCCACTGGAGATGTACAACTCAATTATTTTGATTTAATCCAAAATCAATAGTAGATACACACACACACACACACACACACACACACATAACTACATATATATACACACACACACACACACACACACAGTGTAACAACAAAGGTAACTATTAATATAAAAAATGTTGCAATTATCAAATGGATAAACAATTATCAATGGAAATATAATTAGACTGTAAATAAATTGTATCTATCTATTTGAAAATTAATCTAAAAATAATTGACAAATAATCTTGAAGTAAAAATTAATATATTGATAATTATTTGACTTATTTGTTATAATAAGATAGCCATTTGTATAATTATTTATAAATATATCAATATATGTATATATTTAATATAAAGTAAATATATTGTACAATTATAATAAAATTGTAGTTATTATTATTATTTTACTGAATATTATTGTACATTAACTCCAGTCTATCTTTTTTATATATATATATATATATATGTTTGTATTGATATCGTAAATATAACTTATTCATTGTGACTAATAATGATAGCAATTGTTGTCTACAATAGTAGTGAACATCCATCTCCTTCCTAACCAAACCAAACCAAACCAAACCATACCATCTATTTGTTTGTTACGATCCTATAGTTAATTGTAGTTTAATTGTATGCGAGAAAAAAATATTTCGCAGTAATAAAAACTTAGTTTTTTTATCACTAATTTGTATTAATGAATGACTACAGTGTTGGTTCGCTAATCAATATTTAAAATATTTTTTATTTTTATTTTTTTCTGTAGACCAGAGAGACTTGACGTGCGTTTAGGTTTTTTTTATAAAAAAAAATATAATTAATCAAATGTCTTATTACAAGTAATTTGAATAAATTGCATATTCATTAAGATTTTTTTTTTGTTTTAATTTGACGCAAAGTTGTGTGACTGTATTTTATTATCTATATATATGATAAAAATGATCTAAATTGACATTAAATAATATCATTATGAGTCTATCAAAATGAATATTAATTATATACAGAAAAAAATATTATTTTTTTCATAACATTTAATTTATTAATAAATAAAACAATATCTATTTTTTACATATTTACCTAATTAAGTCAGCATAAATTTATTATAAATTTTATTACTATTTATATATAAAGTTTATATATATATATATAAATACATTATATTGTCAATTAGATAGCAATAATTGTGACAAATTAATCATTTTTATAATATAATATTAGTTGTATGTTTCCATTTGGAAATAAGTTGGAAAATTATATATCAAATAATCAATAAAAATAATTACTTATAAATTAAGTGCAAAAAGAGTTTAACAGATTTTTGCGATTTACTATCAAAAGGGATTCAATGAAAATCACTGATAAACTAACTGATGAAATGAAATGTCTTTATCGGCACAAGAAAATAAAAAGGTCAACGATTTTTGGGCACCGATTGTGTTAATGATTTTGTTATTTGGTGTGGATTTGGCACAAATTGACTCAACTGTCCATTTGACTTATCCACCAGTGAATTGACTGTACAATTATTATATAATTGTGCGGAAAATTTTAATATAAATACATTTACAAACTTATATACAGTATTATAGGAAAAAAAAATATGAATTATATTATAATTATAAACAATTATTAAATGATTATTTTGCATGTTAACTGCTATAACTTAAAATTAATATATATATATATATATATAATATTTAAAATAATAGATACTATTGATTATTATATGAGATAACTCTATTATAAAAAATAATTTCATAAATATTATATAACATATTAAAAGTACGGTATTATTTAAATTTTGCATAATATAATATAAGTCATAAATATTTACCTAAAATAATACTTATAAAAAAATATAATATACAATATATCCATTTGTTTCACGTTTTTATAGTCACTTGTGAATACTGTGAGGTATAATATAATATATATATATATGTTTTATACTGTATATGATATTTGGTTAAAAAAAAAGTTTTTTTAAAGTGAAATATATTACCGAAGCTCTATAATAAAGAGGTCTAATAAATATATTATAAAATATTATTTTTTGAAAAAACAATACTAAGAGAAAACTAAAAAAAACATAAATTCAAAGATATTTGTATAATATATTTGAGTCTATATTTCATCGAATGAATGGCTAATGAGTAACTCAAAAAAAATAAAATAAAATAAATCAATAATTTTTTACTTATATATAAATAACAGAATACTAACAAAAAAATTTGTTGATTGATTTGGTTATTAATGTAAGGTTTTAGAAAAAAATTGTAAAAATAAGCACAAATTTGTTATCAATAATAATGTATACATAATTTAAGTGTATATTCTATATATGTATTATCATATAATAAATATAAGGGAAGTTAACTCATTGAAGAAAAAAATATGTGATTATTTCAAATATTTTAAGTATTAATAATACTAATACTGTATTATAATAATGAAGACTTATAGATGTTTAACAAATTTACATTTTTCACTTTATTTTTATTTTTTAAAAAAAATGTCATATTTTTAACATATTATAAGCGAGTAATGAAATGAATTTTCATTTTCTCACTTAACATGAAGTCAATCAAATGCTTGAATAGGTTTGACAACAATTTTTTTAATATTATATATAATTTATGTATAAATAATACCATAAGAATTAATATATAGTGTTTGTTTCGTTAACTTTTATGCACGAATTAATACATTTTATGACACATTTTTTTGTTTTGTTTTAAATGAATTGATTTTTATATATTTTCCAAAATTATTATATATTTTTTATTTCGACAAAAATTCTTGTTTTAAGTGATGACACACTTTCTACTATATATATATACAGTATATATATAATATTATAGACAATACGTTTGAATTGATAAAAACAGAGAAACATTTACTGTATATGACTTTTTGAAAGGAAATTTGAGATATATTTTTGTTTAGAGAAATTGAGAGAAAAAAAAGATAAAAATATAAAAAAAATCATCAAAAGTTTTTAAATTTAAAGGATTAATGTCTAAGAAAAAAATGGTATAATATATATATATATATACAGTATATTAAATGCATTCCCGATGAAAGGATTGACTATTTTTTATACTTTTTTTTCATTTTTAGTATTAAACTTTATATATATATAGTAGAAAAAATTTATGAAAAAAAACTTTTATTTATTTTTATTTTCCTTCACACAACAAAAGTGTTTTATATACGAGATAAATAAATATCATATTTAAGAAAAAAAACATATATTAGTAAAAAGAAATTGTCATTTTTATTATTATATATATATATATACTGTATATATATAATATACGAATGCAAATAAATAAAAAAGAAAAATATAAGTTTCATTTGAATAAATTATTGATTTTTTTTCTTTCAAAATTACAAAAATAAATATCAATTAAAATATTTTTATTTCAATGTTTTTTTAAAATTTAATTGAATAAATGATTTATTATGTCAATAATATTCTGTCACTAAATATATTTACTACTAATTGCGATAATAATAATAATAATAATACTGATAAATACCTGTTGATGAAAATCAAAGAGATTTCGGATTAATGTCCGCAAAATCCGATCCCTACGGATGCCATCGATTCCGTGTCGTTCTTCGTGCGAATTGAACACCGGAGGCGCCTCCACACGCGTTACACCAATTAATAAGTCGGTACTGTGGGCCAAATGTATGGTCGATCTCGTATCGGTCGACTCGGTTTGCATTAGATATCGGGGCTCTGCCGGCACAACAATGCCGTCGATAATCGGTCCGAAAGCTGTCAAATGGTCGGGAACTGAATAGTCGGCCGAAAACAACTCGTCGATACGTTTCTGTCGCAAACAGTCAACCATTACAGCGTTGTCCTAACAAATAATCAAATAAACAAAAAAAATCGGACATAAATTTTATGGGACAGTTAGCTGAGATCGGCACTAGTAGTACTGTATTATACCCTATAAAATAACTATAAAAAGATTTATTGTAAATAAATTAATGTTAACATTTATGTTGAGCAAAATTTTGTTGTTGTTGATTGTTTTTTTTTATTTATAAATATATTTAATAACCATTTTATATATCAACTTTTTTTTTAATGTAAAAGCGATTGTTAATAAATGCAATATTTGTTTTGTTGTTTATTTGTTAAACAGATAAAACAAATTACAATATCTATAAATAATTGTTACAATTTATTTCTCGTTTACATTCAGTAATTTATTATTTTCATTACATAAATGTATACAATATATATATATATATATTATTCAGTATATATATATATGATTAAATAAAATAATTTATATGTATTTAAAGTTCATTTATATTTATTTATCTAACTAATCTGCTAAATATATTGTCAAACATTGATATATTAATACAAATAAAAACCAATTTATCTCAACAACAATAATCAATAGTTACTCTCTCTCTCTCTCTCTCTCTCTCTCTCTCTCATCAATATTAAGTTGAGTTTTTTTCAAAAGCAAAAAAATAAATAAGAGTTTGACCCCAATCTTATTTTGTTCAACTATTTTATTATTATAATATAAATATGTGGCAATAAATTTTATTCAAAAAAATAAAAACAAAATGGTGTAAAAAAGGATTCAAACATTTGATTGAAACAGTGTCTGACATATACAGTACTATACAACAAACATATATATTTACAGCAAACAAACAAAAGTGACCATCAATTTATTTACAACACTAATGGTGACAAATAATGTTTTTTATCGCATATATATATGTATAACAAAAAAAAATATATACCAATAATATATTATATATAAAATTACTTATACTATTTGTTAAGGTCTGGCAACACAAAAAATTAGGTCTTAAAATGTGAGATAAAATGTTGTGTAGAGTTAATGCTAGAAAAAAAAGATCCAATTTTCATATAATTTATTACTATATATGAATATAGTAAAAGAAGTCTATGATGAAAATGCCTGAAAAAATTACATATAAAATTATATATTTAGGTTCAATATATAATTTATATTATATATATATATATATATACAGTATATATCTATAAGCTATAGTCAATTTTTTGCATAAATTTTTGTTGGCTAATAATAATCCTTAAGACAGATAGAGGATACAAAAAATAATATTTGATAACAAAACTAATAACAACAACAACAAAAATTTGATATTAGATATTAATTACTTAATAAATGATATCGTTTTTCATTCAATCCTATTATCAGTTGATACCCGGAAACAAAATGAAAACAATAACAATCAAAAAAAAAAAATACAAAACATCAAATATATCTATTGATTTAATTAAACTAATGGTGTGTTTAAGCAATTTTTCACTAGACATGTCTTAATTATTGAAAAAAAATTGTTATCATCATCTGGTATATTGAAATGCTATACTCTAAATACTGTATGTATGTATGTATTGATTTCCGATATCAAAGAGATGATAATAATAATAACAGTAATAATGATATTACAAAAGTAATACTAAATACCAGAGAGACTAACACACAGTATATATATATAATATGCTGACAGTTGTGTTATATTGTGCGCTAAAGCCTGTGATTAGTGATTACAGTAACAACAAAAAAATAACATAAGATTATTATTATTACAATATATATACCGTATATATATAGAGACTTCCGACTATTGTTTTTTATTATGTTTGGGCCAATACATGTGAGACACACCAGAAAAAATAAGAGAAAGAGAGAGAGAGAGAGAGAGAAAACAGTGTGTCTTATATTTACAGATAACAACTGTCCTCACTATTAAATCTGATTAATGATATCCTATTGTATTATATAAGTTGTTATTGTTATAGTCGTTGTTGTTGTTGGTATTATTGTGAAACACCCAACCAATGTATGATAGGGTTTAATGTATGTAAAACACTGATCTAAATATATATACTGTATATATATATACTATATGTATATAAACTATATATTTTTTACGATAACTATTAACATATAATTTCTACAAAAATAATTAATAAATTTTTTTCAGTTGTTAATATTAACATGGATGACTTTTTTGGCAATAAATTTATCTCATAAAATAATTTTTAAATCATCAAAAAATAAAAAATAAAATAAAACTTTTTGATTCAAAATAAAATAAAAGTTTTATCAAGTTTTGTTATCGCAGAACAAATAAATAATATACAAAAATAATTGTTATAATTTTTGTCAGCAATTTATATAAAAGTTTATATAAGTGAGTATAAAATAACGGGTATTACTGTTGTTGTTATAAATGTTTTGTGACAATAAATTAAAATTATAAAACAAAATGTGGTCTCTAAAGAAAAAGAGATGCCATAACACATTATACTATTTAATTTTTACACACACACACACACACACACACACACACTATATTAGCATTATGTATATACTGTACATACAATATAAAATCTGATAAATAAAACTTTATTATTCATATATAGTTTTATACTATATACAGTGTATATATACTGTATATGGCATATATTATATATGCAATAATTTATTAGCAGACAAACTGAAGCCATGGTTTTTAAAAAAAGGGATAAATATAGTACAGTGTGTGTGTGTGTGTCTATGTTTGTGTCTATGTGTGTGTTATTTGCAGTTATCATAATAAATGAGTGTCTCATTTGTTTTGTAATCGACGCTAAATTTTAATAGTTTTGTTAGTCTCTAAAGAGGTTTCACATCTTTTTTATATATATTTATATATTTAATCGCTAAGTGAGAGATAGTGTAGTATACTGTATATAAATGGTTAGAAAATTATATTTTATATAATCGTGTCACTCGTGTGTGTGTGTGTGTGTGTGTGAGAGAGAGAGAGAGAGAGATAGAGAGATAGAGAGAGAGAGAGAGAGAGAGAGAGAGAGAGAGAGAGAGAGAGAGAGAGAGAGAGAGAGAAAGAGATCTAATCAATAAACAAATTTACTTATTATGAAAATAGCATTATTAAAATTATTATTAATTTATAAAATTTAGTTTTCATACAAATCAATTTAATTTATCTAATTTAATGTGAAAACTGTTGAAAATATAAATTATTAAAATAAACTTACATGAACGGGACAGTCGAGCTCCTGGGCTATTGTTTTGGCGTATAGGTCGGCATCTCTGGCTATAGCCCAGGGAGTTAGCGCTGAACCACTCATCAATATTACACGCAAAAATAGACCTGGATAACCCCAAACATATTATACTGTACATATTTATTAAATATATGACATATTATTAATCATTTAATATATATATATATATAATGCTTAATTTTTATGATCAATTAGGATATCAATAATACTACTACTACTAATAATAACAGCAATAACAATAGTAATGTTAATATTGTATATAAATAAATCCCATTTATTTGCCTCATTTAATTCAGTTAAACTATTAATAAGTTTCAATACTAATATTATTAGTATTATTATTATTATTATTATTAATAATAAAAATAAATTAGTTAGTATATTTAATATATGATAATAATGTATATAAATAAATAATTTATTTAATAATAATAAAAATAATAATAATAATAGGCAAACCTTTAGCCATGGGTGACAGCATGAGTAGATGGGCACAGGCAGCACCATAGCCGTGGCCAATGATGGTAACATTGTTAGGCTGACCGCCAAATTCAGCAATATTTTCTTGTATCCAATGAAGAGCTGCCACCTGATCCATCAGACCATAATTGCCTCTAACTGTTCCGTCTACCAGTGCCGGCAAAAAGCCTAAATAGATAGATAGTCATAGATAGTGAAGATTAAAAAAAATGATATCGCAAATGAATAACAACAACAAAATCTGAAGTGAAATATATCACACATATTAGTATTATTATTATTATTGAGTGCCAATAGAGACCATCGTCTCTAATAAATGATATGAAATAAATAAATGAATGGATATATGTATGTATAATACATAGACTGACCACCCATACAGGTGCCGCCTGTATTATACAGGAATCAAGAGTCTAATACAGGTGACAGGAGAGGGCTAACCTGTATAATAAAATATACAGTTTTAAAATATGTAAAACTAATTGATTAATAAAACTATGAATTAAGTTTTGTTAGTAAAAATTTGCTTGTATTTTTAATATACAGTTTAAATATTTTAAATATTTCTAAAATTGTTCATGTTCAATATAAAATAATTTTAACTTTTTATATAATTATAGTATCTAAATTAAAATTTTTCTTAATTTATATTATAAATATATACGAAAATATAGTTATTTAAGTACAGGTTAACATACAGGAATATAATATTTAATATACAGGAAAATACAGGTGAAAATAATAATTTTATACTATTATACAGGTTTACTAGTAAATTGGGTGGTCAGTCTAATAATACAGTATATATATATGTATGTATGAAAAAACTGTATGCTATAGCTATAGATCTCATATTTACACCAAAAACAACTCACAAACACATTATTGCCAACAAATTTAGATATCAATATATATAATATAATTCTGGGAGTAATCATAATATTGATATTAGTAATGACAGACAGGCATTAGATTTATTGTATTGAAATAAAACTATTGCCACCAAAAAAAAAAATTTGCTAACATTAATATCTGATAGTATAACCCAAACAGTCGTCGTCGTTAAGCTGTCGACAAAATTATTAACAAAATTAAGATTTTCTCTTCAAATAATAAGTCATATCATCGATAAATATAAGGGTAATAATACACATACCGTACTGTTTATAAGTAAAAGTCGATATCAACTTATAAATTGATAGTTAATTTGCTTTTGAATGTCTTTTAATGCATATACAGTTATAGTGTATAGTATATCACTACATATGGATATAACATAACCACTTATATTAGTTATACATTATATTTACAACACATTTATACAGTAGATTATGTATTAATATAATATTATTGCAATTGCTTAGAGACAGAAATAATAATAATAATAATACTAATACAACATTTTTACATTTCATTGACTAATTTTGTCTACTTTTCAAACATGAATTATGTTTTTTTATATCAATAATAATAATAATAATAATAATAATAATAATAACATAATTAATATTTATACATAGTTATTCAATAAAAAAATTTATCTCTAATTATCTATATATAAAACTTATATACACTTATATATATATGTTTGTATGTGTGTGTATTAATTAATTAATTCACATTAATTTACTAAACAAAAAAAGTGATTTATTGGCATCAGTTGGCAATAGTATACTAAACTATAATAATAATTATTTTTTATTATTATTAAATGAATAGCAATAATATATTTAGTAAATTATTATTATTATCATTATTATTATTAATGTGTCAAAAAATGTTATCTCTTAGAAAATATAGAATAAATATTATAAATTAAGTGATATATATATATATTTATATGAAAATTGTAAAAAATAATAATTTTTTAATGACTTTATACGTAGATCATTAAAATTGAAATATTAATAAAAACTTTCTATCTATTAATCAGTTTTATATACAACAACACAAAAAAATTGTTTCTTTAAGGAAATACACTATTGTTAGTAAAATTTTTTTTTCAGTTTTTTATTCACACAACTCTTTGAGTTTAACTATGATAGTAATGATCCACTATTTTCTTTAAAAAAAATATGAAAATAAAAAATTTTACTGTATTTTTATATGAATACAGTGTTGTTGAAAACACAAATTTATACAAAAAATACTGTTTTAGAGAGAGAAAGAAAGAAAGAAAGAAAGAGAGAGAGAGTGAGAGTGAGTGAGTGAGTGAGAGAGAGAGAGAGAGAGAGAGAGAGAGAGAGAGAGAGAGAGAGAGATCAACTAAATCTATATATAATGATAAACATTTATGATTTACTTAATGACAAATGAGTTTGAAAATTGTATATTTATATAATTTTTAAATAAAACTAAAAATATTTTCATTAGCACATATACTGTAGTATTAAAATATTATTTTAATAATAATAAAAAATTGAAATATAATTGAAAATAAATAGTTTTAAAAATTAAATTTTACTAAAAGGTAATTCTAATTTTTTTTATTAAAAAATATTATATTTTTTTAGTGAAATAAGTAGTCAACTGTGTGTGTATATAATATATATTTTATATAAAATATTTATATATGAAAAATCTAGTGAACTTATATTTAATTTATACATCAAATTACTTGACTCTCACTCACTCTCTCTCTCTCTCTCTCTCTCTCTCTCTCTCTCTCTCTCTCTCTCGCTTAAAGACATTACATGCTAGAGAGAGAGAGAGAGAGAGAGAGAGAGAGAGAGAGAGAGAGAGAGAGAGAGAGAGAGAGAGAGAGAGTCAAAAATATCTTTGAATGTCATTAAAATGAGATTAAGATTTAAACAAAATTTAAAGAGTCATACAATAGGAGAGACAGTATTCACAAAAAAAACTTGAAGCGTTTAAAATGAAATGAAATGTCATTTTATAGACTATATATACAGTATATATATATACAATATATAGAGTATATACTATATACTGTATATATTGTGTGAATAACTATTAGCACCAAAAAAACTTGTAGTGTTTTTCCATTCATTCATATTACTGTTATTTTATTTACTGATATTTATCGTTGACATAATAATAATAATAATAATAGTTTTAACAATAGTCATAGTCATCAACAACAACAACAACAACAACAAAATTTATGCATTTAGTTTTTTTTCTATACAACTATATTATGCAATAAATATAGCAATTTAACAAATGAAAAAATGTATGCAAAAATAATATCTTTTAATTTAATTAAATTGCATTTTTTTGGTTTTCATATATTTTTATTTAAAAAAAGTTTAGCTTTTAAATGTCTAATAAATCATAGTAGAGTATAATCTTGTATATAAAATAAAGTATATATATAACTTATATATATATATATAGTTTTCACAATAATCTTCTTTATATAAAAAACATATACTGTAGATAATAAACCAGAAAATAATATTTTATAATTTTATTGTTGTTTATATTGTTGTTTGAGTTATTGTTTAAACAATATAATTTTTAATATACTCTATAATAAATATATTTGAATATATTGTTATAAATTTTTTTTTATTTAATAACATTAAATTATTCTTAAATAACTAAACAAAAAATTTATAATGCAAATTATTTATTATATTATCTCAAACTAAATAAAATTATCAAATCATCAAAATATATATATTTTTGTTTGATTAAAATTTTAATATTAATATTATTTGAGATGCCATTTTTGCTATAAAAATATTTGTATAAAATTACTTATAATAATTTTCATACAAATAAAAACAAAATTATAGACTATTTAAAGTAGTACTACTAGTAATATTAATAATAGTATATATCAAACAAAAATTATACCTCATTTAGATATTGAGCCTTTAGTTTATCTATTATTATACCTAATATAAGCGCCAAAAAAAATTGAGTCAAAACTTATTGTCAAAAATATTTTAAATTCCTGAGGGAATTATGAAATGTCAAGATATTTATGACTATATCCTTAAAAATATATACCGATATTTATATGGATATAATAATAAATATATTTAAATAAAAAAAAATAAGACACACATTTAAAATAAATTCAACCAAACCCTACCAATTGATATTATTTGAGATTTATTTGCTATAAATTATAACTTATAATAAATATATACAGTATATTATAACACAATATATTGCTTAAAAATTTTATTTTGCTTGACTTTGTTAAATTAATAATATAAAAAATTAAAGATTATTATTATTATTATAAACTATTAGAAACTAAAGCATTATAAAATTGTAAAAAAAATCTAATTTAATTCTGTCGCACTAATATTAGTTAAATAAATAAATAAAATAAATATTTAAATTTTTTTTACAAAACTATGTATAATATAATATTTATATAAAATGCATATATTTTTTTAATACAATATTTTACTCTATAATAAACAATGTATTTACTGTATATTTAGTGAATGTTTAGAATTGATTATATTTGAATGTTAACAACATTTTCAATGCATTGAAAGCTCAATACAATATTTATTGTCTTATAATTCATAAAATAGTTTAGTTTATGTATAAACAATATATTTATATATTTATTGATATATATTTATAAGTTTATTGAAATCAATAGTGAATTCAAGTGCTTCACAACAACTTCAATGTTTACAGTCAATAGTCAACAATTTGAATGATTACTTCAAATCTCTCAATGTTTTTATTGATTATTTTTCATATAAATATGTATTTATATATATGCTATGCATTATCGCTGAAAATACTAAAAAAATTATATATTATTAGATATATTAGTAATATTTAAATTCTTTTTACTATTTATTTTTTTATTCACAAATATATTTTTAAATATTTGAAATGAATTTTTCCAATTCAATGAACAATTCCTACTTAAAAAACAAATGTGTTTAACATATTATTATTATTATTATTATTATTATTATTATTATTATTATTATTATTATTATTATTACAGTATTAAGTATAATCTAGCATATTATAAAAATGATTAATTTTCTATAAGTTTTATTAAATGTTATAATAACAAATAAAAAACAAACAAATATTTAAATAATGTGTGCACTTAGCAAAAAATTTTTATAAAAAATCATCAAAAAATATTGAAAGATTTATTATATGCCGTACTGTATATAAGATATTTTTGATGGTTTTTCTATATTTATATAATAAATAAATGAAAAACATTTCGATTCCGATCACAGAATCGACAAAAATCTAATGACAACAGGAATAATACAGTTCTTATAGTTGTATATTATATAAGAGATAGTGAGTGAGTGAGTGAGTGAGTGAGTGAGTGAGTGAGTGAGTGAGTGAGTGTGTGTGTGTGTGTGTGTGTGTGTGAGAGAGAGAGAGAGAGAGAGAGAGAGAGAGTTTGGTGTCAAAGCTATCAATACAGACATTTATCAAAACACAATAAGCTTTCAAAAAATATATATCAATAATAAACAAAAAAACTATGAGAGAGAGAGAGAGAGAGAGAGAGAGAATTGAAAACATATATATTTTCATTATTTAACTTTGAGTTTGTTTTTATATGTCATTTCCTATACTTTTCTAAGTTGTTTGTGTTTTGAAGCGACAATTAGTGACAACAATTTAGTCTCCAATCATTAGACTATAGATAATAACAAATATAAAAAAATCAAAAACAACTATAAAAAACAATATTTTCATTTATATTGCAAATTGTATATCAAAAAAAATAAATAAATAAAATGTTTAGTTATATCATTACTTTGAATTATTACATACTATTCGCATTTGAAAATTGTTTAATACTTGAAAAAATTTGTGTTTGTGTGTAGGGGTGGGGTGGGGTGTATGGACATACCTAGGACTCCCAAACGGTAGTTCAATGTGACGACTACTACCCGTCCAAAACTGGCTAAAATGCTTCCGTCGTATACATTGCCAGAGTTCCAGTCGTAGGACTCGCCGTGAATGAACACAATGACCGGCACTCCTCTTGATTTTGGCGGTGAATAGTCTATGAAAACATCAATAAAATTATAACAACAACAACGACAACAACAAAAAATAACATTTAATAACATATGATAAGTAAATATATAATAAATAATAACAGATTTGTCAACTCAAAGATACAGTAGTAATAATAATATTATTATTAATACTATTATTGTTGTTAAAGTATGTCTGCGTTTGTGTAATAAAATAAAATATAAGTTATTTTATTTTTTTAAAGATATAACTTTATAAAAGTATAGTATTTTTATATAAATATTTTCTCTAAACTAAAAGTTTTTCCTCTGAGGCTATATTGCTATTGATTGCATTGTTATAAATAACTGCAATGTTTTTAGACATATTTTATAGTTTAAAATAGAAAATATACTAATCTATAGATATAGTATTATAATAGTTATAAAATATTATTTAGCTAATAGACTAATAAATAAAAATTTAAAAATTAATTTAAGCTTTATCACACAATTATTTTACTATAAAATATTATGATATTATATATATAAAAAACAAAATTGCATAATTTATTGCTTCATAGATATTAATAAAGTAATAAAAATAAAATTTACGTCTAACTAAACAATTTATAATTTATTATTTACTATTAAAAATTTTGTGAACAAAAAAATAATATTCAATATATATATATTATATGTTATATTATTAGTAAGTCATGCATACAAAACATAATATATTCAATAATAATTATTATTTAGCGCCCATTTATTTTTGCAAAATAATAATTTAAATAATTATTGTACAAATTATTATACAAAAAAAACAAATATTGAATATACAGTAGTTTCCATCATATCATTTAATAAATAAATTTTGTTTTTCTAAAAAAGTTTTAATTTCTATACTTTATTTATACAGTACAAGTATAAGTTTAATTTATTTAACATTTATTTAATGTTTTATAGTATTTTCTATAAGCCAATAAAAAATAACCAATTTATCAATCAATCACTTAAAAAAATTTCAATAAATAAGATATCTATTGAATATGAAAATTCAAGTATTATTCATCATATAAGTAGACAAATATAAGAATAAATACTATGATATCGATTGTTTAGCTATAATATTATAGTTTATGATATAATACTACAATATATAATGATATATATAATATATATATATTTACGTTGTGTATACTAAATTCAGTAACTATTATATTATATATTATATTATATAAAAATATACTTAATTTTTTTTTTGTATACTATTATACTGTATAAGTTTGAGAGTTATTTTCTAAGCAAAAAAAAAATAAAATAAAGTAAATAATGAAATTGCAATTTATTTCATCAAAAATTTAATCATCAATACACCGACATCTATTCAGTGGACATTCAATATATTATAGTATTGTACAATATATATATATATATAGTTGTGGTGTTGTGTTATTCAACAATTGTTGTCCTCTCCATATCATCACATTAAATAACTATAAGTTTTGTCCACAGATAAGTAATAAATAAATAAGAGAGAGAGAGAGAGAGAGAGAGAGAGAGAGAGAGAGAGAGAGCACAGATAGCACTGTCCTTTTGATGATTAGGTTTGTCCCTTATATTGCATTCATTCAACAAAACTCGTGATTGGCTTTTATAATATAGCGGTCAATAGTTAAGTCCATCGGGTTTTATTTGTTAATACAATTTGTGTGTTTTTTTGTTGTTAATAATAACGACAATCTGCACAATCAATATTGGATTAACACCCAAAACTAAATCCCAACCAATTTTGGCCAACAATTATCACACATATCCCAGTCATCCCTTTATTCACTGAAATATTTATTATTCAATTAAATATATTGCAATAAATTTTTGATTATATAAGTATATATATTTTTATAATCAAATATTTATTTTATAAATATTTATTATCCATATATTATAATTCTATATTTTGTTTTTATTGGCACAAAATATTTTAAATATATATTTTTTTATTTTGAAAATCTATGCAATCAACTAAAACTATATACAGAATTTACTTTTGAAATTCAATACTTTTAACCCGAAGCCAAAATAAATGCAAAATAACACTCATATATATAATAAGATATAACTGAATTTTATTATATTTAACAAAAAAAAAACGTAAAATAAATTTTGACATAAGCTTGAAGTCAACAAACTATACAATTATATACACAAATAATATACAGTACAATATATATAGTATATATACAATGTATAAATGTTTTTGCATATATTTGTCAATTGACTTATCAATGATTTTTATTGTAATAACCATAGGGTTTGTATATGTTTACACAATAGTAAAAAAAGACGAGATCATTAGGAAAAATTTATATATATTTATTATATTTAATTCAATCAATTTATATACTGAATATACAATATATATATATAGACCGGTATATATGTTGTATAATAAAATCACTTAAATTTCATTTTTATATAAAGATACAGTGAATTCACTAATTAAAATATGTATTTAAAAAATAAATTTACGGTATTTACAATTAAAAATTATATTGTTATCTACAATGCAAATATTGAAACTAATTTTAAAATTTATTATAGTATTATTTATATGTATACTAAATGAAAAAACAAGATTGAAATTTAAATAACTTGAATTATTATTATTTTTTTATTAATATAAAAGGCTTGAATTGTACTTTTTATTTTTGAAAAAAATATATCCAGATTTTGATTATAAAATAAATTGAATTTTTCTGTATATTTTACTTAAAACTTAAATAATAAAAATATATTTAAAATGTTTTATTGTTTTTTTCCTGTTCATATCTATTTCTTTTTAAACTATTATATTATATATAGAATATTATTTAAATATTAGTTTTCTAAATTTTATTTGAGTTTAAAATTTATATAAAAAAAATCAAAAAAAAAATAAATAAAATAAATTTTTCTCAAATACTATATATAATTCTATTATTATTTACATAAAGGCTTGCGAATGTAAATGATGTAAATGTTATTTTGTGCAAACATTAACAATAATATATATATATATATATTGTATTTTTATTTAACAATTTAAATTTTTGGCTTAAAAAATATTTTATATAATAATAATAAATGATGATCATACACATTTTAAAAAAATATAACTTGCACAAACAACTATTATATTAAAAATCATTATTATAGTAATTTGTTTTAGTTCAACACATAGTTATAATTATTTTTATTTAATAATTAATAAATCAATAAATAATATTTATAAATTATTTTGTTCACTAAAAACTTAATAAACTATAATGAGCATTTTTCGTATAGCAAATTAGATAACTTGAAAAATTATAATGTTAAATGAGATATATTTATCGTTGAAAGATAACAAATTTTTTAAATTCAATATCTAAATTGATATCTTCTTTTTAAAAAAATAAAATAACAAAACTATTACTTAACCGATAATCTAATATATAGATAAATATTTTCCCAACAAATATATATATATATATATATATATATATATATATATAATGTGAGCAATTCATTAGAGATAAAACACATATTTGTTTTGAAAAACAATTTTTGAAAAGTTTACAAAACCGTAATAATAGTATTAACTATTAAACAAAAACATATTGAATACAAAGCTATTCAATGGCCGTATAAGTTATATATAAAAAATAGATATGTTTAAAGAAAAAATAGATGGGTATAAAAAAATATCAATTGATATTTATTATATCCATTTAGTCCCCAATGAACATATAAAAATTATAACATATTATAACAATTTTTTTAAAACTGTGTCTCAACAATTTAAATGCAATAACTATTACACAAAATTTTTATTATTATTATTATTATATTAATGTAAGCCTTACATGACAGTAATAAATTTAATTTAATTTTCTTTTTAAAAAAATGACTTTCATTTTTATAAAATAAATTTGCAATAAATGTCATATTGTGTTATAACATTTTTTTAATAGAAATTTTTTTTATTTTGCTTCAAAAACAAAAAATAACATAATATTATAAATTTAATATATATATATATTTAGCTTATATAAAAATATCTTATAATATATATATAATATATATATATATAAATTTGTTTCTCTATGCGTTTGATTACATTTCTATTGTCCTTTTTTAAAAGTAAACAATAAATAGACCGTTAGGATAGACACTTGAAACACAAGCACAGGGATGTATGTATTGATACATTATTGTTTGAAGATGCTCTAGAAAAGTGAGAGCACAGGGATATATTTGTTGTTAATAATGGCTATAAACGTATAAAGGCGTCAATGTTTTTTTTTCATAGATGGGATTCAATATAATGGGTCCACTAAAATATCGTAGCGTGAGTTATAGATATATTTATATATCTTTATATCAATATATATATATACACACAAAAAACATCTATATTATTGATATAAAAGTTAGTACTCAATGTGTATTATCTAAGCTATGGATTACATTAAGTTTTTAAAAATATTTTTATATATATTTATACTGTATATAAATGTGTGTCAAACTTTTTTTATATTAAATTTTTATTGTTAACATTTATGTTCAATCATAAGCTTTTTCATTGAGTTTTTATTAGACATAAAATTTTGAAACTAAAACTTCTCTCTCTCTCTCTCTCTCTCTCTCTCTCTCTCTCTCTCTCTCTTCTAACTCACTCACTATATAAATAATCAATATTAAATCACTTATTTTTATTTTATTTAAACAATATGTTAACAAAAATAAATAAAACCATACAAATAAAATATTGTAATAAATATGCAATACTAATAAAAATAAAATAATTTAATATACAATATAAAATAAATTAAATTAGTTAATAAATTTGTACTGTATAAAATATACAACATTTTTATGATTTGTCAAAATTTATACTTTATTATTTAAATGTCTACAATATTATTATTATTAAACATTAATTTAAGTTTGTATAGCATTTTAATGAAAAATAAATTAAACAAAATATTTTTATTGGATTCACCTAAAAATGTTACTTCAT